AAGGCTTGAAAAACAAATATGGCAAAATGCAAATATTTGTTATGTGTGGGAAGTGTTTTCTACACTTACCTAAATGGTTAAACAAAATATAATAATAAAAGCAAATCTAAAAAGAAACCCCATGTAAAGTATTGGGATAAATATAACCACTTTGATCTATCTCTCAACTCTAAGTAAAATAACTATGAAACATACAAATAGGAAAACCTGCATGAGCACCAGAAATTAAATACAAAATCTGATATAGAAACCTATGAAATAGGACCAAATTTGAAAGTGGTTTTTTTTTTGAAAGTGTTTTTAATAATAAGTATACTTTACCACATGATGGGAAAGTATACATGAGGAGTACTTGATAGATCCACATCCCCACTGGCAGAAACTTACTTAGAAAACCAAAGCTCCACTGAAATGAGATGCTTATTGGAGAATCCAAAGAGATGCCCCTTTCTCGAGGTCACTTTAGAGACACCTGGTAGAAAGATAACCTCCACAGTATAAAACATGATGTTGAAAACCATGATCTTCCCCAAGGACTTGATTTTTCGCTTTCAGTCCTCCAGGGCCCTTTCAATAGTCACTTAACACAAAACTGTTCTTGGTTTACAAAGCATATACCAGATGAGTAGCTTGTAGAAGACTATCCTACTTTTAAAAATTGATCCCTACATATTTTCATTTTTTATGAGGCAAAAGAAGGCAACTTTAGTCTCCAAAGCATTCCATGTGAAAACAGAACCTGAGGGCTTTCTCTGGAGATTTTATTTCCTTAATGTCAGGGATATTCTCCAATGGTGAAATGAAACTTTTTCCTTAAATATCCAAAACAGTGTCACTTTCCCTCCCTCTAATCTAGTCATTTAAGTTGTCTATGTCTTACTGGAAATATTTGGCTAAAATCCTCACTAGGTCTACAAAAGAGCTTAGGGAGATCCAAGAATATTAACTAAATTTTGGCCTCGTGAAAGCTTATGAAAATTATCAAGACATGTTTTAGTGACATTTTTAAAATTTAAAGATAAATTTTAAAATATTGGAATATCTAAATAAACTAAAAGTAAAAACTAAGTATTATTGATTAACTGTACAGGAAGAAAAAATAGGTTGGTTTAGACTCCTCTACTTGACTAAATAACAAGATAATGAAGCAGTTTCTAGTTTCATAGGAAAATGTGATTTGGCACTTTTGATATTTAAATTGGAAAATAAACTCCGTATTTAAACAAAACATTTAATTTATATCAGTCTGACTCTCCCATAGATAAAAGCTATGAATTCTTGAGAATGCTCAAAGAAAGGACACTAACCACTTGCAGAGGATGAGATGCTTAGATAACATCACTGACTCAAAGGACATGAATTTGAGCAAACTTCAGGAGATAGTGAAGGACAGAGAAGCCTAGCATCCTGCAGTCTATGGGGTTGCAGAGTCAGACATGACTTAACAACAACCACTTGAAGATACCAGGGAAAGACTAAAAGCAGACAGAAAAAGGAGGGGGGAATTGAACCTTCTAACATGGAGCCTGTAGGATTCTCATCAAGAAAAAAATGGGGAGAGGACTGAAATCCATAGAATTAGAAATGAAAAAGGAGAAGTTACAACTGACATCACAGAAATACAAAGGATCATGAGACTACTACAAGCAACTATATGTCAATAAAATGGACAACCTAAAATTCTTGAAAGATACAATCTTCTAAGTCTGAACCAGGAAGAAATAGAAAATATGAATGGATCAATCACAAGCACTAAATTGAAACTGTGATTTTTTTTTTCATTTATTTTTATTAGTTGGAGGCTAATTACTTTACATCATTGCAGTGGTTTTTGTCATACATTGAGATGAATTAGCCATGGATTTACATGTATTCCCCATCCCAGTCCCCCCTCCTACCTCCCTCTCCACCCGATCCCTCTGGGTCTTCCCAGTGCACCAGGCCCTGAAACTGTGATTTTAAAATTTCCAACAAATAAAAGTCCAGGACCAGATAGGTTCACAGTAAAATTCTACCAAAGATTTCGAGAAGAGTTAACACCTATCCTTCTTAAACTATTCCCCAAAATTGCAGAGGATGAAATACTCCCAAGCTCATTCTATGAGGCCACCATCACTCTGATACCAAAACCAGACAAAGATGTCGCCAAAAAAGAAAATTACAGGCCAACATCACTGATGAATACAGATGCAAAAATCCTCAATGAAATATGAGAAAACCCAATCCAACAACACATTTAAAGAATCATACACCATTATCAAGTGTGATTTACCCCAAGGTTGTAAGGATTCTTCAACATATGTATATCAGTGTGATACATCACGTTAACAAACTGAAGAATAAAAACCGTATGATCATCTCAATAGATGCAGAAAAAGCTTTTGACAAAATTCAATACATATTTATAATAAGAACTCTCCAGAAAATGGGCACAGAGGCAACATAACATAATAAAGGCCATGTATGGGAAACCTACAGCAAACCTACATTCTCAGTGGTGGAAAACTGCAAGCATTTCCTCTTAGATCAGGAATAAGATAAGGATATCCACTCTCACCACTTTTACTCTTTCTTCAACAAGTAAAAAATTGGAAAAAATATATAAAACAATGGTATTCATGTGTTGGACAACAGGCAACACTGGACAATAATCCCCGCCCCTCAGCCAAGAGAAGAAAACCTAAAGAAGGAACAATTGTCTGTTTTTGTCTCTAAAATAGAAATTTCAGGCCACAGTGCAAGTGGTGGGAATCCAAACAGAACTGATTTGAAAAATAAAATTTAGCATTCAGGAAGGTCAGGGAAAGCTAAAATTCACAGGTCAGCAACACAGATGAGACAGAAGCACATACAGAACATTCTGGAGCTCTTCAGAAGGTTATTCTTAAATTTCTGCCTGAGGTTGGTTTAAAAAAAAACACAGAAGGAGCAATTTAACAGAACAATGCTTGGGGCTCAGAGGAAGCTCATGTTCCAGACAGCCAGATGGGAAATCTGCAATACACAGAGCATGGAGTAGAATACTAAAGAAGAGTAGTCTCAGTAGGAGAAGCAAGTTAGGCTAAACAAAAGACTTCTCTGGTTCCACCTAATGAAGCTTAAAATAAAGCCTCAAAGAGACCAAAATATTTCTAAGTATTAATAACTAGATAGCATCACAGAAAAAAAAACACTGAAAAATATATAAAGGAATAAAATAAAAACTCACAAAGCTACAAAGTTTACTCAAGAAGAAACTGATCATTTGATCACTGTATCTATTAGAGAAATTGACCTAAGGTCAGATAAAAAAAATCTGATCACAGAGAACTTTCCAGACCCAGATGGCTTCATTGGGTGAATTCTACCAAATATGTAAAGGAGAATAAATATCAATTTTACACTAACCCTTAGAAAAGAGAAGAAGTGGAAACATTACACTTATTACTAAAATGTGATAGGATAGTATAGGAAAGAAAACAAAATTTTAGCAAACTGAATTGAATAGTACATGAAAAAGTTAATACATGATTGCCAAATGGGATTTATCCCAGGAATGCAAGGTTGGCTTAACATTTGAAAAATCAATCAATGTAATTCACTATGTCAAAAAACTAAAAAGAAAAACAATATGTTCATCTCAACAAATGCTAAAAAGCATTTGTCAAAATTCTACATATATTTGTTATAAAATGAACAAGAACAAAAACTTCTCAGAAAACTAGGAAGAGAAAGAAACTACCTCAACCTGATAAAAGACATCTATAAAAAACTTCAGCAAAAATTTAACATTTTTCATCTAAGATCAAGAATGAAGCAAGGATGTCTACTCTTACCACTTAGTCAATGTCTTCTTAAAGATCTTAACCACAGGCAAGTAAAACACATAAAAGGCTTATAGATTGAAAAAAAATGCTCTTTATTCTCAGATGACATGAATGTCCATGAAGAAAATCTTAAGAAATCTAAGAAGGCTACTAAAATAATAAGAAAGTTTAGTAAGATTGTAGGATATAAAATCAACACAAAATTATTTTTCTATCATATTTTCTATATATTATCAATGAAAAATTAGGAACTGAAATTAAAAATACCATATGCAACATTACTTGAGAGATGTGTGCAGCATCTATACAGAAAAAAAACTGGAAAATATTGCTGAGGTAAATGAAATAAGTCCTAAATAGATGAAATATTCTATGTTAATGGAGTGGAAAATCAGTATTATTAACATATCAATGCTTCTTGAATTGATAGATTTATCCTAATTTCAATTAAAATTCCAGAGTATATACTGTAAATACTGATAAGTGGTTTAAAATTATACAGAAATGAAAAGACTCTGGATAACCAAAATAATTTTTTTTAGAAGAATGAAGTTGGAGAATTTATAATACCTGACTCCAAGACATGTTATAAAACTACATTTATCAAGGTAGTTTAGTATTGGCATCACCGGAACAAAATTTAGAGTACAAGTGTGTATTTAGCCATAGGCCAATACAAGTGTTGTCAAAAGCTTTTTTGACAAAAGTTCCAAGGTAATTCAATGGGCAAAGATAATCTTTTCAACAAATGGTTCTAGAACAATATGCAAAGAAATGATCCTCAATGCTTACTTCACATAATTTTCAAAAATTATTGAAAATGAATTAGAGTTCTAAATGTAAGAGCTACAGTTATAATCTATAAAATTATATACTACAAAATTTCTAGAAGAAAATATGGGAGAAAATCTTGGGTGAAATTAAGCTTCATAAAAAAATTCTTGAATATGAAAAAAAGCACAAGCTATATTGGAAAAAATGATAAATTTGATTTCACCATACTATAAAATTTTGTCTTTCAAAAGACACTGCTGCTGCTGCTGCTAAGACACGTCAGTCGTGTCCAACTCTGTGTGACCCCATAGATGGCAGCCCACCAGGCTCCTGTCCCTGGGACTCTCCAGGCAAGAACACTGGAGTGGGCTGCCATGTCCTTCTCCAGTGCATGAAAGTGAAAAGTGAAAGTGAAGTTGCTCAGTTGTGTCCAACTCTTCGCGACCCCATGGACTGCAGCCCACCAGGCTCCTCCGTCCATGGGATTTTCCAGGCAAGAGTACTGGAGTGGGGTGCCATTGCCTTCTCCTCAAAAGACACTATTATTAAATAAATAGGGAACCACAGATTAGAAAAGAATATTTATAAAATATATATCTGTTAAAGAATTTATATCTAGAATATATAAAGAACTGTTATAACAGAATTAAAAGAACACAAACAACCCAAATAAAAATAGCCAAAAGACTGAAATAAACACTTCAGCAAAGACCTACAAATGGCAAATGAGCACATGAAAAGAAGCTCATCATACTTAGTTATTAGAGAAATCAAAATAAAACCTATCAGTATAATCCACAAGCATGGATAAAATTAAAAGATTATACAAAGTGTTGACAAGAAAGTAGAGTAACTATTAATATAACTTGTATACTGGTAGGAAGTAAATTTTAGATAAGTTTGGCAATTTCTTAAAATGCTGTAATGCACTTCGTATAGTACCCAGACTTCCACTAGTAGGTGTTTACAAAAGATAAATGAAATTCTATGTTTACACAAAGACTTGTAATGAATATTAATAGCAGCTTTACTTATAATAGCTTATAAGTAAGCTTACAATAACTTATTTTGGAAACAATGCAGATGTCTACCAACCTGTGAACAGATAAAGAAATTGTGGTATATCCTTACTATGGACTCAGCAAAATACAGGGTAACAAACTATTAATACATGCAACAAGATGAATGAATCTCAAAATAATTATGCAGAGTAGAAAATGCCAACAAAAGATAGCACATATTCTATGAGTTCATTTACATAAAATTCTAGAAAATGCAAACTAACCTGTACTGACAAAGATCACACGAATAATTGCCTAGGGATTGAGAAGGAGGGAGGAATTACAAAAAATGTCTAAGGAACTTTTGGGAATGGTGGATATGTTTCCTATCTTGAAAGTTGTGATAGTCTTATGAGTTTATATATATGTCAAATTGTCAAATTTTCTATTCTAAATGTGTGTGATTTATTATACATCAATTAGATCTCAATAAAGGTGAAATAAACCATGTAGTTATTTGGAGCAAAAATCCTAACACTAGACAATGTGAGGCCATTATTTATGTAGATCTTCTGATATATGTGAAAACAATAGCACAAGGACAAAGAGGAGTAGAGTGCATGTAATTATCTTTCTCCAAGTTCCTACATTTTAGTGAAACAGGATAACATTAAGTAGGATTTCAATCATTTAAGGATGTGTTTGAAATCATTAAGGCAATCACAAAAAATACAAGGAGGTAATATGCAAATAGCCAACAGAGGAATAAAAATGGAATAGTAAAAATATTTGATTAACCAAATGAAGACATAGAAGGGGAACTAAAGAACAAAAAACAGGTGAGATAAAAACTGAAAACAAACAGGAACATGGTAAAACAAACCTAACCACAGTTATGTTGAACTAACTCAATAGTTATGTTAAATGTAATGAAGTAATCACTCCAATTAAAAGGAAGAAATTGTAAGACTTAAAGAAACCCCGAGATTCAACTATATCTCATTTATATGAGGTACACTTTAAACATAAAACACAAAGAAGCAGTAAGTAAAATGATGGGAAAAGATGCACGATGCAGACCACAAACATAAGCCAGCTGAAGTGGCTGTATTAGTAACAGACAGAACAGCACTCAGTAGAACTATCATAGATACAAAGAAGCATAATGATTAAAGGGAAAACATAATACACAGATGTATATGTACCAAATAACTTAAAAATGCATAAAGCAAGCATCAACAGAATTAAGGAAAGAAATAGATAATTCTACAATTGTAGTTGGAGATCTTAATATCACCTCTCAGAAATAAACAGAGCAATTAAATAAAATATCATAAAGATACAGAATTAGAGTTAGAAAACTTCTATGAAGGGCCAGATAATCCAATATTTTAGGCTTTGTGGGCTGCAAATGACCTCTGTGGTATATTCTTTAATGTTTTGTTATTTTACAATCCTTGAAAATGGAAAAATCATTCTTAGCTTATAGGATGTATAAAAATAGGCCAGATTTGGCCCATAGGCTATAGTTTACCGAACCCTGATATAGAAGATCTAAAGTGAAAAGTGAAAGTGAAGTCGCTCAATTGTGTCCAACTCTTTGCGATCCCATGTACTATAGCCCACCAGGCTCCTCCATCCATGGAACTTTTCAAGCAAGAGTACTGGAGTGGGTTGCCATTTCCTTCTCCAGAGGATCTTCCTCACCGAGGGATTGAAGCTGGGTCTCCCGCATTGCAAGCAAATGCTTTTGCCATCTGAGCCATGATAAATCACCTTTATCTAATTGAGACTGATAAAATAATTGAAGAATATATATTCTTCTCATGTGCACATGGAATGTTTACCAAGACAGATCATGTACTGTACTATAAAACAAATCTCAATGCACTACAAAAGACTGTACAGATCACTATTTTTAAAAGTAGAAATCATTATTTTTAAAAGTAGATCAGATCATTATTTTTTAAAAGTATAAATCAGTAATTTTAAGATATCCAGAAAAACACTAAATTTTTAAAAATTAAATAATACACCTCTAAATAACCCATGGATCAAAATAGAAATTATACTGGATATTAGAAAATATTCTGAATTAAATGACAATGAAAATATAACATCAAAATTTGCAGAAAGTAGCTGAAACAGTAGTTGGGGAAATTTATAGCTTTAAATGCTTATATAAAAAAGGAGAATGATAAAACAAATAGAATAAATTCAAACAGCTGGTGGATAAAGGATATATGGGAGTTCCTTAAACTATTTTTACCACTTTTCTGTAAGTTAAAACTTGAAAAAATTAAAAGTTCCTTAATTTTCTATTTAGCCAAATTATTTTTACATGTAAGACTAAGAAGCGAAAAGAGATATTTAAGATTGGGTCAAAATAGTAAATTATCTCTCTTTCTATACAAAATGCATACAAAATTATCTCTCCTTCTAAACAGATATGTATGAAGTTCTATAAAAACCAGAGTAACATTAGCAAATAAGAAATTTCACATAACGACTAAAAGATAGAAATCAGACAGCATGCTGTCTATAGAGATAAGAGTGGCAAAAAATCAAAGTACTAATCAGAAGAGCAGTAATTAACCAATTAAACAATTTTAGAATAGAAAACTAACTGAAGAGAGTTTTCAGAAGAGTAGGTTGAGGAGGTTAGTCCCTCCTTCCACCAGCCTATATCAAGAAGTATAATGGAAAGGTATTTCCCTTTACACTAGGAGTTCTTAACTTTGCCTGCAAATTGAAATCATCTGAGTACCTTTAGAATAAATACTGAGTCTGAGATTCTGTATAGTCAGTCAGTAATGAGGCCTGAGCACCTCATTATTTAGTATTTAGTATTGAAATACAGTATAAATTAGAGAGACATGAGCTTGCCTTAAAGTGCTTATTAATATAGAGTAACTAAGAAGTTTGGTCTTGTCTCAGAAATTTGGTAGGTAGAAGAGAACACAAAAATATATTCATGTGAATTGGTATTTAAAGTAGTCTGTAGCTCCATTGCTGCGATCTATTGAAAGTCAGCCCTCGACACAAGGGTTTGTAAGATTAAAAATTTTTTAAAAGAAAAAAAAAATAAAGTAGTCTGTAAGTGGATTATCTAAAAAGTGAGCATTTAGAAACAAAATACTGGAATCCAATTATCTCCCTTTGTAACAAAGAAACCACAAGTGGATTAAAGAATTGAATAAAAATGGAAATTAAAAAGTACTAAATAAAAGCAGGTAGATTGTTTTTTTATATTAGGTTAAGTAAGTCCTGATAAATATGTCACAAAACTGACACTCTACAAAGGCATTATTTAAATTTACTGAAAAAAACATTTTAAGCTTATCTATTGTTAAAACACGTTATTAACCAGTTAGCAATACAGCCAAAAAGTAACAGTATTTGATGCATTCTTATACCTGAGAAGTTCCCTGAAATTAATATTAAAATCATAATAGATGCAAATGAGAAAAGGACTTAAGTACATGTAATTTTTATAATGAAAAACTAAAAACGTAAAGCAGTATTCAAATTACTATAAATTAAATGTTATTTTAAGATTCTCACTAGAAAATAAGTCATTAAAACACTCTGATAAATTAATAATGATATACTTGATCTTGGCTATTTCAGTAAGCAATATATAATAAATTTACTTACAAGTTGATAGGTGTTCTTGATTTCTCGCAATCATGTCCTTTATAGATTTTGAAGGCATTTTCTTGCTACCATGAATGGTTGTTGTGGACAGTTCTTTCAGTTTCCAGTGGGTCCAAAGTCCTTTTTGAGGTGGTAAACCTGTTAGCACAAAATGTATATTTAACCAAAGAAATTACGATTTTAAAAACATCTTCTGTTGAAGCCTTTTTTTGAGTATTGTACATTTAATTCTCACAACAGTCCTGTGAGAACTGTCAGTCTTAGGTTTCAAATGAGGGAATCTCTATATAGAAATGTTAATGTCTTATCATATAAGACAGTGAATCAGAAAAGAGATAAACATGATATATACCCTTCTGACTAAAAAATACAAGCTAAGTTCATAAACGGACACAAGCGGAGATTAACATTGTGAAAACTCAAAAGGACCTAAATATCCAACAAAAGTACAAACAGTGGATCATGAAGTATCCATAAAAAGTTACCTTGTAAGCATTTATTAACATATAAAAGTAATCATAGTATTGTTTTTATGTGAAGGACAATTTTACCTTATATGGATGTGTGACTGTAGCTTAATTGTTAACATGATTGCCTCTGAGCAACCATCGATAGCTGATTACATTAAAAAATTTTTCCTCTCTGTATCTATTATTTTCAAAATAATGTTTTTGAATAGATTATAGCACTCTAAAAGTAATAAAAATAAATTCTATTTTAAAAGAGTGTCAGAGTAGGAAGACATGGAGCTCACTTCTCACAAACACATCCAAAATATATCTACACATGAAAGACAACTTAAAAAAAAAACTACTAATTGGAAACCAGCAGAATATCTTTTATAAAGCCAAAACTGCAAGGAAGATCTCCATGTAACTGGGCAGAATTGCAGGGGGAGGGGAAGGCGTTAGGGTGGGACCAGCGCCCCTGGAGTGGTATGGAAGAGAAGGTCCACACAGGTGGATCCTCGCCCTGGGCAGCCCCCTGCTGCCGGGAAACCCACTGAGACAGATGGGAGAGCTGGAGAAACCTAGACTCCACTTGTGAGGAGGGTGTGTGTGTTGGATTGCTAACAATCAGAGCAGCGAGAGATTTGCACAGATGGCAGCCACCTCATCACACTTCCCAATCCAAAGGGCAAATGCCCAGTTCCCCTCACTTCACACCACAGCCTGGCAGGAGATCAGGAGAAAGATGCAGTCTAGCTGCTAGAAGTGGGACTGTTGACTCGCGCAGTGGCTCTAGTTTTCATTTTTGATGAACCTCCATACTGTTTGCTACAGTGGCTCTACCAATTTACATTTCGACCAGCAACAAGGGTTCTCTTTTCTTCATATCCTCATCAATATTTGTTATTTGTAGTCAGTTTGAAAATGGCCATTCTAACAGGTGTGAGGTGATATCTCATTGTGGTTTTGACTAGCATTTCCCTGGTGATTAGTGATGCTGAACATCCTTTCCTGTACCTGTTGGACATCGGTATGTCTTCTTTGGAAAAATGTCTTCAGTTCCTCTATTTTTAAAATCAGATAGTTTGTTTGTTTGTTTTGCTATTGAATTGAGTTCCTTTTAGCTTTTGGGTATCAATCACTTATAAGATATGATTTGCACATATATTTAATAAGTTCCTTTTGCATTTTGTTAACTTTTTTTTACTGTGCTTTTTAGCTTGATGTAGTTTCACTTACTAATTTTTGCTTTTGTTGCTTGTGCTTTTGATATCATATGCAAAAAATTATTGCCAAGACATATATTAAGGAGCTTTTCCACTACATTTTCTTCTTAAGAGTTTTATGGTTTCAGTTCTTTCCTCCATTTGAAGTTAATTTTTGTGAGTGATATAGAAAAAGCAAGGGAATTCCAGAAAAACATTTGCTTCACTGACTACACTAAAGCCTTTGACTGTATGGATTACAACAAACTGGAAAATTGTTAAAGAGATACGAATATCAGACCACCTTACCTGCCTTCTGAGAAACCTGTATATAGGTTAAGAAGCAACAATCAGAACCAGACAGGGAAGAACAGATTGGTTCAAAATTGGGAAAGGAGTATGTCAAGGCTGTATTTTGTCACTCTGTAAATTTCACTTTTATGCAGAGTACATCATGCAAAGTGCCATGCTGGATGAATAGTAAGCTGGAATCAAGAATTTCTGGGAGAAATATCAACAGCCTCATATATGCAGATGTTACCACTCTAATGGCAAAAAGCAAGGAAGAACTAAAGAGCCTGTTGATGAGGGTGAAAGAGGACAGTGAAAAAGCTGGCTTAAAACTCAACATTCAAAAAACTAAGATCATGGCATCCAGTCCAATCACTTCATGGCAAATAAAAGGGGGAAAAGTGAAAACAGCGACAAATTTTCTCTTCTTGGGCTCCAAAATCACGGCAGATGGTGACTTCAGCCATGAAATTAGAAGACACTTGCTCCTTGGAAGAAAAGCTACCACAAACCTAGACAGCATATTAAAAAGCAGAGATGTTTACTTTGCTGACTAAGGTTCATACAGTCAATGCTATGGTTTTTCCAGTAGTCATGTATGAATGTGAGAATCGGACAATAAAAAAGGCTGAGCGCTGAAGAATTGATGCTTTTGAATTGTGGTGCTTGAGAAGATTCTTGAGAATCCCTTGGACAGCAAGGAGAAAAAACCAGTCAATCCTAAGGAAAATCAACCCTGAATATTCATGGGAAGGACTGATGAAAAGCTCCAATACTTTGGCCACCTGATGTAAAGAGCTGACTCAATAGAAAAGACCCTGATGCTGGAAAGGATTGAGGACAGGAGGAGAAGCATGTGATAGAGGATGAGATGGTTGGATGGCATCACTGCTCAATGGATGTGAGTTTGGGCAGATTCTGGGAGATACTGAAGGACAGGGAAGCCTTGTGTGCTGTAGTCCATGGGGTTGCAAAGAGTCAGACACAACTGAGCAACTGGACAACAATAAGATAGGAGTCAAATTTGATTACTCTACATGTGGTGATTCAGCTTTTCCAACACCATGTATTGAGGAGATTACCATATTCCTATTGAGTATTCTTGGCTTCTTTGTCAAACATTAGTTGACTGTGTTTGTGAGGGTTTATTTCTGGGTTCTCACTTTTCTTCCATTGGTCTGTGTGGCCTTCTTTGTTTAGTTTCCATGTTTTACTCAAATTACATATCTGATGATACATGTTATTCATCTTTGCCACTTGAGCATTTACCACATTAATCATAGGCAGCTGAAATTTTCTGTCTAATATTCTAATACCTGTGCCTTATCTAAAACTGGTTCTGATTATTTCTTTGTCTTTTGATAAGTAGTTCTGTTTCTGGGATGAGTTGCATCTCCACTCCTTCACTAAGGGCAACTGGATTTGCTGTCCTTCCTCCCTGCAACCTTTTTCCCTCCTCCTACTGTGACTTAAAGCTTGTTGTTGTTAATACAAAGGAGATGGAAGAGAAGGGTCCAGACAAGGCTTAATGCCTTTTTTGTAGTGGTTTTTCTTATATTCCCCCAGGCTTTCTCAAGACTGTCATACCATCCTCAATTATTACTTATAAAATATGTGGAGAGAAACTTGTAATGTCAACTTCCTTCTTGTTTATGAAGCTCCTAAGTGTCCTATATGGTCACACTAGACCATACTCAGCTCTAAGTAATTCACTAGAAATTTTGGCTAAATTCTTCTTACTGCCTTTTTATGGTTATCTATCTGCATCTGTCCCACGTGAGCAAGTGCTAACATCTGGTCTTCCCTTGGAGGTACCTGTCTTTCTGTAGATTTTGGGTTGATTGCCTTGGAATTTCTGATGGGTTCAAGGAGTTTCTAATTTGCAGATAGTTTAGTGTTTTAAGGTAGAAGAGTGGAAGTGATATCATTTTAGTTTTCTACATCCTAAGCAGAAGCCAGAAGTCAGAGCACAAACCTTCATCTTACTCATTGTAAAGCTGCCACATAGGATAGTCATAAAGCTTGTGCTAAAACCTAGCCAATCATACAAAATCCTAATGTGTCTCTATACTAGTTAGAAGTATCCTCCAAAGTCTTCCATATCTTAATGTTCCCAAATGGTGAATACGTTATGTTACATGGCAAAGAGGAATTAAGGAAGCAGACAGAATTAAGTTAATACTGGCTAGCCTTAAAATATGGACAGTATGCTGGCTTGTCCAGGTGAGCCAATGTACTCAGAAGAGTCATAGATGTGGAAGAGGGAGGTAGAAGAGTCAGTATTAGAATGATGCGATATGAGAAAGATGACTAGTCATTGTGGGCTTCAACGATGAAAGGCTATGAGGCAAAGAATGGAAACAGCTTCTGAAAAGCTGAAAAGAGATTCTCCCTAGAGCCTCTAGAATAACACAGATCTCCCAACATCTTGGTTTCACCCTAGTGAAACTCATTTTAGACCTATGACTTTCAGAACTCTAAGATAATATATTTATGTTGCTTTAAACTAAGTAGTAATTTGCTGTATCAGTAATAGGAAACCTATACAAGCTCTGGTGCTTTTTTTCTTATTGTATATAAGGATCTTTAGGCTTCCTATGTGGCTCAGTGGTAAAGAATTCACCTGCCAATACGTGTTTGATCCCTTGGTTGGGAAGGTCCCCTGGAGAAGGAAATGGTGACTCCAGTATTGCTTGGGAAATCCCATGGACAGAGAAGCCTGGTGGGGCTATAGTCCATGGTGTTGCAAAGAGCTGGACATGAACTAGCAACTAAACAACAACAACAACAAATAAGGAAATCTGCTAAAAAAAAATTTTGTGAAAAACGAACCAAAATGAAAGCCAACTGACAATGTAAGTGATTAAACTGAATATAATGCAAAGAAACAAATAAAGTCATGACTTCATCTTTAAAAAATGGAATTTTTCATATATTAAGGAGGAGAAATTGAATTAACTATTTTATATCTATGATATAAATATTTTTCAAACAAAGAATAAGAAAAATGTCTTTTAAATTTCTTCAACAAGTGCTCTAGCCAAAACAAAATAATTGATCACAATTGACAGATAAAATCATAGTAAAAAGTGAAAAGGTCATTTATGAGCATAGAACTCAGAAAACATGTGAGTCTTGATAGATATGCAATGTGAGAAAAAGCATTGTGACAGAAAGCTGTAAAAACACATTCACGATTAAATAAATCATAGAGGCTCCAGTGCAGCTACCACTACTGCCTTTGTTTTCAACTTAAATTCTTATCCATGCATAAAAATAAAAATGAACAATTATGTACAGGTCAGTGAATCTTCACAAGTTTAATACATGGTGTCCATGCTACCAGTCCTCAGAAACAAAATATTCAGCTTCTAACACCATGGATTAGTTTTGTCAGATTTTGAACTTTGTATCAAAGAACTCATATAGGATCTACCTTTTTGTGCCTGGCCCCTCAACCTTGTTTGTGTGATTTGTTTGCTACTGTATATGATTATAGTTCACTCATCCTCATTGCTGGCAGTATTTCATTATATGGATACTCCATAGTTTATCTAAATTTTATATTACTGTGGGCATTTGGACAGTTCATTTTGATTATTATATAAATAGCACTGCTATGAACATTTTATACTTTTGGTATACAGAAATATGTAGATTTCTGGAGGTTATGTACCTGGGAGTCAGAAATATGCTAGTCCAAGTTTAACATATGTTTAGCTTTAGTAGATATTGGTAGTTGTTCAGAATATTCATATACTTCCACCCACATAGCTACCTTTTATCTTAAGAAAATGCAGGTTTGAATTTTTAACTCTGAGATGAATGTAGATTTACATGCACTTGCAACAAATAATACAGAGAGATCCCTGGGCCCTCTATTTAGTTTCCCACAATGGTAACACCTTGTAAAACTATAATACGATATCACAACCAGGATATAGACATTGATATAGCCAGGCTAAGGTACAGTTTCATCCCAAGGATTCCTCAAGCTTCCCATTTTAGCCACCCCTACCCTTCACTTTAAATCATTTCTCTGCCTGATGCGAAGGAGAGGCAATAAATATTGATCTTTTCGCTACACAAATATTTTATCCTAAGGTGAAACAGTCCACAGAGAAGTACTGAAGCAGGGATAAATAGCCTATGTTGGAAGAATCAGTTTAGTTCAGTCGCTCAGTCATGTCTGACTCCTTGTGACCCCATGGACTGCAGCACACCAGGCCTCCCTGTCCATCACGAACTCCCAGACCTTACTCAAACTCATGTCCATCGAGTCAGTGATGCCATCCAACCATCCTCTGTCCCCTTCTCCTTCCACCTTCAATCTTTCCCAGCATCAGGGTCTTTTCCAATGAGTCAGTTCTTCACATCAGGTGGCCAAAGTATTGGAGTTTCAGCTTCCGCCTCAGTCCTTCCAATGAATATTCAGGACTGATTTCCTTTAGGATGGACTGGTTGGATCTCCTTGCAGTCTAAGAGACTCTCAAGAGTCTTCTCCAACACCACAGTTCAAAAGCATCAATTCTTTGGTGCTCAGCTTTTATAGTCCAACCCTCACATCCATACATGACCACCGGAAAAACCATAGCTTTGACTAGATAGACCTCTGTTGGCAAAGTAATGTCTCCGCTTTTTAACATGTTGTTTAGGTTGGTCTTTCCTGGTGGCTTAGATGGTAAAAGCCTCTGCCTACAATGTGGGAGACCAGGGATCGATTCGTACATTGGGAGGTCCCCTGGAGAAGGAAATGGCAACTCACTCCAGTATTCTTGCCTGGAAAATGCCATGGACAGAAGAGCCTGGGAGGCTACAGTCCATGGGGTCACAAAGGGTCAGACATGACTGAGTGACGTCACTTTCTTTCTTTCTTATCTTTCTTTCTAGGTTGGTCATAACTTTTCTTCCAAGGAGCAAATGTCTTTTAATTTAATGGCTGCAGTCACTATCTGCAGTGATTTTTGGAACCCCCAAAAATAAACTCAGTCACTGTTTCCATTGTTTCCCCACCTATTTGCCATGAAGTGATGGGAACAGATGCCTTGATCTTAGTTTTCTGGATGTTGAGTTTTAAGCCAACTTTTTCAAAGAAGATGCATTTCCATACAAATGTATTCAGGCTAGAAGTGAGCAAACTATCTATTCTGCTATTTAAATCAGATAAGGGATCTATATTTAGTGTTCTTGCCTTTAACTCAAGCAGTTTGTGTGTAGAATGCTTTGAAGACCAATAGGAACAGGCTAAAGTAGACATCCCCACTGAATTTACCTTATAAATCTCCTAACTAATTGCTATTGCTCATCTCAGCATATTACATACATTCATGCTTGAATACATCACAGAAACTAGTTAAAAGCATAATAATTGCAAAAGAAGTATGAAAACTATATTTGCAGATGATATGATAAATGACTTGAAAACCCTAGACAAAGAATGATAAAACACAAACAAAAGGATTAAGTAAGCAAGTGACTCATAATATTTACATACAGAAATCAATATGAATTTGGAGGGAACACAGTTCAGTCTTTAACAGGTCTGGAGGAAATTTGTTCTGTTCTTCACTTTTCTCTTATGGTATATTTTTTTTGTATGAATGCTGTGTTCATTTTCTTTTTATTTCTTATATTTGAATTAGTTGGATTTTTCTCTGTAATTAGGACACTCCTGTCTTGTGTGTATTGATGGAGGGGGCTGGTGATCCAGATTGTTTTCAAGAGTTTACCTCCCAAGGACTCCTTCCTTAAAACATGGAACATTTTCTTATAGAAATGGTTTGGTTACTAAGAACTGACACAAAGCAGTTATAAAAAAAGTAGTCAAAATTTGGACAGAAAGTTTTATGAGAAGAACTAGACTTCACTCACTTTTCCAGTAGTTGAGAAGAGTCAATAACTTCTGGAAGTCCATAATGGTACAGTAGTCTATGGAAAAAATATTGGATAGATTTTTCTCTCCATTATCTTAGTTTTAAACCTAAGTGCCTAAATCTCTGGCTAAGCCTCCAGGATGGAATTTTACTTCCCTTCAGTGTTTTGAGTTCTACCACTCCTACCTACAATATAGTCGTAAAGGACTGATTTTGGTCATACCTGAATTGTCAAGTGGTTTTCTCTACTTTCTTCAATTTAAGTTTTAATTTGGCAATAAGGAATTCATGATCTGAGCCACAGTCAGCTCCTGGTCTTTTTTCTACTGACTGTATAGAACTTCTCCATCTTGGAAAACTCAGCAGTGGCCACAGGACTGGAAAAGGTCAGTTTTCATTCCAATCCCAAAGAAAGGCAATGCCAAAGAATGCTCAAACTACTGCACGATTGCATTCATCTCACATGATAGAAAGTGATGCTCAAAATTCTCCAAGCCAGGCTTCAACAGTACGTGAACCATGAACTTCCAGATGTTCAAGCTGGATTTAGAAAAGGCAGAGGAACTAGAGATCAAATTGCCAACATCTGTTGGATCATCAAAAAAGCAAGAGTTCCAGAAAAACATCTATTTCTGCTTTATTGACTATGCCAAAGCCATTGACTATGCAGACCACAACAAACTGTGGAAAATTCTTACAGAGATGGGAATACCAGACCACCTGACCTGCCTCTTGAGAAATCTGTATGCAGGTCAAGAAACAATAGGTAGAACTGGACATGGAACAACAGACTGGTTCCAAATAGGAAAAGGAGTATGTCAAGGCTGTATATTGTCACCCTGCTTATTTAACTTATAGGCAGAGTACATCTTGAGAAATGCCAGGCTGGATGAAGCACAAGCTGGAATCAAGATTGCTGGGAGAAATATCAATAACCTCAGATATGCAGATGACACCACCCTTATGGCAGAAAGTGAAGAAGAACTAAAGAGCCTCTTGATGAAAGTGAAAGAGGAGAGTGAAAAAGTTGGCTTAAAACTCAACATCCAGAAAACTAAGATCATGGCATCTCGTCCCATCACCTCATGTCAAATAGATGGGGAAACAGTGGAAACAGTGACAGGCTTTATTTTTGGGGGCTCCAAAATCACTGCAGATGGCAACTGAAGCCATGAAATTAAAAGGCACTTGCTCCTTGGAAGAAAAGTTATGACCAACCTAGACAGCTTATTAAAAAGCAGAGACATTACTTGGCCAACAAAGGTCCATCTAGTCAAAGTTATGGTTTTATCAGTAGTCATGTATGGATGTGAGGGTTGGACTATAAAAAAAGATGAGCGCCAAAGAATTGATGCTTTTGAACTGTGGTGTTGGAGAAGACTCTTGAGAGCCCCTTAGACTGCAAGGAGATCCAACCAGTCCATCCTAAAGGAAATCAGTCCTGAATATTCATTGGAAGGACTGATATTGAAGCTGAAACTCCAATACTTTGGCCACCTGATGCAAAGAACTAACTCACTGGAAAAGACCCTGATGCTAGGGATGATTGAAGGCAGGAAGACAACGGCACAACAGAGAATGAGATATTAGATGGCATCACCGACTCAATGGACAAGAGTTTGAGTAAGCTCTGGGAGTTGGTGATGGACAGGGAAGCCTGGTGTGCTGCAGTCCATGGGGTTGCAAAGAGTCGGACACGACTGAGTGACTGAATTGAACTCCTACCTAGACACACAGACACATCATGATTCAAACATTTTTTCCCTTGATTAATGATGGTAGTCATATAAAGAATTCAGTTAGCTCTAGAATTTACCCAGTATTATTTGCTATAAAAATGCCAGCAGTGTTCTAAAAGAAGTAGCTTGAAATATTTCTCTTGCAAATATAAAATATGTATCATACAGTTTTCTTTCTGTGGCAGTTTTGGTTTCTACAAGAATTCCACTGCCTATAAAATTATTTCCTTCTAAAGTTAATAACTGACTAATTTTATTATAACAGAATTTTCAGAAGAAAATCATCATTATTATTTTGAAACATAGACATCAATATTCTATGTTTTGTAAGACAAAGAACAACAAAATTTTTGACTAGAGTAAACAAAACACTGCAATTCAAAAGTTCTAGGTATCAAAGTAATGATCAATACTTAAATGACATTCATACCTGACAACCAAAGAAAAATATTATTCCCTAGATCTTCTTTAAATTCATCATTAAAGAGATTACTGGATTCTGGAAATGCTTCCTGGAATGTTGCATAGATAGCCTGTGCCAAACAATCAGGATACACCTACCAAAACAGAGTCATATTAAAATAATTCCATATTTCATGTAACATTATCTAAAATACAAAAGAATTTGTTGAGTTTGTGAAATATACATGTCCCTTTTTCTTCTTATAACTTGTTTTTGGCCTTTTTTGCCTCTGTGTACTTCCAACAACTGAAGAATATGAACAAAGAAGAGTTAAAAATAAAGTCATATCAATTTATCTATTTGTTAGCATTTTGGGAAAAAAATTTAATTTGGATAAAGGATGAAGCTAACAGTTAAGGTTTAATGATTCTACACTTATTTCATTTAACCCTGTTATTGATATCCTCTTTAAGAAAAAGTATACCCTCTTTCCAGTCATTATAACAAGTATATATACATTTAATTGAAATATATTTGACATGTAATACTAAGTTTAAGTGTACAACATGTTGATATATTTGTAATTTGCAATATGATTACCACCACAGCATCAGTTAACACCTCTATTATGTCACACAATTATCACTGTGTGTGTGTGAGAAATAAAAGCATGCTTTTAAGTAATTGAAGTCCATTTAGGTGAGTTAATATAGCATAACTCCAATTGTTACTGAGGTTATACTATATTGTTTGCTCCTTGGAAGAAAAGCTATGACCAACCTAGACAGCATATTAAAAAGCTGAGACATTACTTTGCCAACAAAGGTCTGACTGGTCAAAGCTATGGTTTTTCCAGTAAGTCATGTATGGAGGCGAAAGTTGGACTTTAAAGAAAGCTGAGCACCAAAGAATCGATGCTTTTGAACTGTGGTGTTGGAGAAAACTCCAATACTTTGGCCACCTGATATCAAAAACTGACTCATTGGAAAAGACCCTGATGCTGGGAAAGACTGAAAGCGGAAGGAGAAGGGGATGACAGATGATGAGATGGTTGGATGGCATCACCGACTTGATGGACAAGAGTTTGAGCAAGCTTCAGGAGTTGGTGATGGACAAGGACGCCTGGCATGCTGCAGTCCATGGGGTTGCAAAGAGTCAGACATGACTGAGTGACTCAACTGAACTGAACCCCAGTTGTAAAGCCATGAGTGAATATCAACAAATATATAGTGCTACCAGTATTCTATTAGACTTAAAGTCACTTGACTGCTAAGTTTCTCTTAGGAAGTAACTACACACAGGAAGATACCAGATTTTTATGTTAAAGATTTACAATATTTTATTTACTATTTTGGAAGGTTGGCAGATACCAGAAACTGGAAGATGCAAGAGATGATTTCTCCCTTTGGGTTTCTTAAAGAAATTAGCTCTGTTGATACCTTGATTTTAATCCCATAAGACTCATTTTGGACTTCTGATCTATATAACTGTAAAACAATGAATTTCCATTGCTTTAAGCCCCTAACTTCATGATAGTTTTTACACCAACAACAGAAAAATAATATAGTTACCTATCTCAGCAGTGCTCAAATCTGCTGGTAAATCATGGTATTCTTTGAAGAATTTCATTAGTTTTTTTGGGTAGGGAAAAAGAGGCAGGGAAGGATGCTTTAAAAACACTGATATATTTAATTTTATTGACTCAGCCATGGACATTTTAAAATACTACTCGAAAGAGTCACATATTGTGACTAATTGTGGTATATAAAATTATGCTAGTAATTAAAAAGTTGAACTAGGTAAGGGGAACTTTTACATTTTGTTTTCTGTGTATATCTGAGCTTCAGGATATTAGTGGGAAAAGAGATAAAGTGTCAGATGGTGTTGGGAAATTTTCTGAGGGAATATCATTGTATGACATTGGAAGAAAATGAAATAAAAGCCATATGATCAGATTCAATTAATTTATACTGAATAGTGAGACCTGAAGATAATTTTTTGATTCTTAAATATTAATATGTTTTTCTCAGATGAGCCAATTAGTAACAAAACTACCAATTACTTGAATGAGTTACAACAGAAATTAGTCAATGAGAGATGAGGCTTCATTTCTACTTATACAGCTGCGGAGGTAATAGATTTGTAGGGAGTTAGTCTGGTTCACAAGAATAGAAACAGGGGGAGGGGTCCAATCACTAAGGTGTACATGTTGTTTGTTCTCAAGTGAGGCTTTGAATCTTTGTTAAATAACTTCTAATTTCTCCTTGAAAAATGCCACTGAAAATAAGGACTTCAGAAAAAATCAAGTCATGATTTGAGAAAGATTATAAAGACAACATTTTGATATCAAAAGGCACATCTATCCCAAGGAGAACATTCGGACAATAAATGTAAGACTAGAAATTACAGAATGAGGGGTATGTAACGGTGCCATTGCTTGTTTGTTCACATTAAATAGGCTTTTTAAAATTCTTTTCTTAAGGCTTGTGTTAAAGCATGCTCGACTTTATCAAACCACGTATTAGATAGACAAAACCCACCATGAAAGGACAGACTAGGTGAAAGATTATAGATAGGAGAAATCCAGCCAGTTTCGTCATCTCAATGCAATTTAATGACCAAAAATCCTAACCACTAATATTTTTCCTGTAAATAAGAAAAATAAATTTAATATTAGCAGAGAAAATCCTAGTCTATCTTTCGGAATATCAGTGTTCTATAAGGCAATTTATGAATCATGGGTCAACCTCTTCATCTGATGGATAACGGCTATGGAACTGAGAGAATGAATGTCTGCAAGATCACCTGTGTAAGTAGTAGCAGATTATTTACTCCCAACCCACTGCTGGCTTCCTTCTGTACATTTTTGTAAGATAGATCAAGATTGAGTATAAATATTTGGCAATTTTATGTTTTCTTGATAGACATTTATTTTATTTTAGGATTTATCCATAAAAACAGTTACTGACTTGAAAATACTTATGTATTTCTGATTTTACAAATGTCATTTCAACAAAGTATTTGAATGTGTCTTCTGCTTTGGAATGCTAGATGTTTACATTTCAAAATACTCAATTAAATTCCGTGCATCTTCATTTCACATTACTAAAGAACATGAATTATTTTAACCAAATTATTTTAACATAGTAAAACAAACATTTGATTCATAAATTTGTTCATTGTTCTTTACTGTTAACAGGTGCTTAGTGTTGTACTTATGCATAACACAAGAGGTTAAGTCCTCTTAGACCAAATATACTTTATCAAGTAAAAGGAAAATAATTTTGTAGATTAAAAAATCAAGAATATGCATAGGGTAAGTCACTATTTTTCAGTATGTAAACAAATAGATTCTGTAAGGCTTTCAGCAGAATATAATATTCTGCAGTGGGGGCATAACTTAAAGTATTAGCTTTTTTACTCTACTTGAGGCAATTTTGCTTTCAAAGCAACAAAATATGCTCTCATATGTGTTTAAATAAAATAACTTTTTATAGTTCATTTGCCATAAATATAATTTGCATAACCAGTTAACTTCAGTATTTACCTGAAAGAATGCATCCTTTCGGCTTAGAGGTATGCTCATGAAAAGTGACACATAACTTTCTGAAATTCTATCAAACAAGCAATCTTGATTTTCTCTGTCAGGCTTAAGAAATAAAACAGGTATGGAATTAAAACAATTAATATCACAATTTAAAATTAGAATTTGTTTACATAATGTCAGTAATTCTATCTATTCTCAAACGGCAGATCAGTTGCTATAATGGAATGAGCATGGGTTTTTGGCATCATGCAGACCTGAATTTAAATGCTGGCCCCATTATTCATTAGCTGCACTATCCTAGGCAAGTCCTAGTTTCCTTATCTGCAAATGTAGGTAATATATACATGCCTTAAAGTAGTATCTTAAAATTCAATTGGGACAAGGATCACATTTTGTTTGACTCTGTATTTAAAGCCTTCAGAGTGCCTGGCACACAGAAAGAATACCAATGTTTGATGAATTAATAAAGTTTCTTGAATAGTGGTTGGCATGCACAAGGCTGTCCATGACATACTTACCTTCTATCACTCTATAGCCATTCCAAATCTTTTATAATAAGTAACTCAGCATAAAATTAAAGCAATTACTGGAATGAGACAGCCATAGCCAGAACTAGTAAAATTGTGACATGATAGACTAAAAACAAAGTAGAATGTCATAAGAAGGAAGAAATCTATAGATAACGATACTCTTAACATTACAGTAAAGTCTTAAGGTAGCATCTTGAATTCTTGCTCTATTAAGCAATGAATAGATGAATTAAGAGTCCAAATTCATTTATGATATCAACAGTAGAACCACAAGCTGGCATTAACAGGTTTTGGTAATAAACACCAAAAATGATTAAATTCAGTGGTAATTTTCTATCAAATTAGCAAACCATATGAGCTGGGATTCATAAATGTATAGTATTTTAGAACTAAAATGGAAGTTAGATATCACTTAGGTTAAATCTCTCTAATTTAGTGATTGCACTACTGTCCAGAAAGCTTAAGAGCATTATTTAAGGTTATACACAGTTAACTATTATTGATGCTGATGCTCAAATACTTTGGCTACCTGATGTGAAGAACTGACTCACTGGAAAAGACCCTGATGCTGGGAAAGACTGAAGGCAAGAGGAGAAGGGGATGACAGAGGATGAGATGGTTGGATGGCATCACCGACTCGATGGACATGAGTTTGAGCAACCTCTGGGAGCTGGTGACGGACAGGGAAGCTTGGCGTGCTGCAGTCCATAGGGTTGCAAAGAGTCGGACACGACTGAGCAACTGAACTGATACACAGTTAAGTAACTGAAAGCCAGACTAGGATCCAGGTCTCCTAACTCCCAATACAGCTCTCATGCTTCTGTAATAAGTTTACAGATGGAGATAGCAGCAGAAACAATAATGATAATATTAATAGCTAAAAATTCTGGATCATTTATATAATGGGAAGTAGTTCATTTAGAGTTGTACGAGAATTAAATGAGATTATATATAATTTACTAGTGAATAAAGTTGGCATGTTTCAGCTATACAACCTACAATCATGTATGAAGAAATATCTAGACAGAAAGTTTCAGAACACGTCTTTGATTAATACAATTAAGTGTAATGTACACACCAAATATACTTACACAGGAGACTGAGTAGCAAAATAGTATGGTAAATTTTTATACATGTTTTGGTATGCTTGAAAAGAAAAGTTATCCTACAGCTGATGGATATTCAAGTTACTGATATGCTCATTAGATCTAGCTGTTTAACATATGTTAAATCATTCTTGCTTTCCAGAAATAAAGCTCATTGGTCAGGCTGTATAACCCTTTTAATATGCTGCTAAATTCAGTTTCCTAATATCTTGTTGAAGGCTTTTGTATCAATATCCATCAAAGAGGATATTGATCTGTACATTTTTTTTTGTATTATCTTTAGCTTTGGTATCACGGCAATACTGGTCTCATAAAATGAGCTAGGAGTATTCCCTCCTCTTCAGGTTTTTTTTTAGAAGTGTTTGAGAAGGACTGGTGTTAATTCTTCTTTAAATATTGGCAGAATTCATCAGTGAAGTCATTTGGTCCAGGACTTTCTTTGTTGGGAGGTTTCTGATTACTGATTTAATCTCCTTACTAGTTATAGATCTATTCAGATTGTCTATTTCATTATTCAGTCTTGGAAAATTATGTATTTCTAGGAATTTGTCCATTTTACGCAGGCTATCCAGTTTGTTATTTTATGTTTGCTCACAGTCCACTTAATCCTTCTTATTTCTTTGCTGATAGTAAAGTTCCTCCTTTCACTTGACTTTAATTTGAGTCCTCTTACTTTTGCTGCTGCTGCTGCTAAGTCACTTCAGTTGTGTCCGACTCTGCAACCCTTTGGACAGCAGCCCACCAGGCTCCTCTGTCCACAGGATTCTCTAGGCAAGAATACTGGAGTGGGTTGCCATTTCCTTCTCCCTTACTCTTGCTAGAGGTTTGTCACTTTGATTGATCTCAAGGAATAACTTTTGATTTTATTGCTTTTCTCTACTATTTTTCAATTATCTATTTTATTTATCTCCACTCTAATCTATTCATTCCTTCCTTCTGTTAACTAAGGGTTCAGTTTGTCATTCTTTTTCTAGTTCCTTATTAGGTAAATTTAGGTTGTTGATATATTGTTTATTGATTTGTTTAAAACTATAAACTTCTCTTTTAGCACTGCTTTTGTTTTTCCCTGTGAGTTTTGGTATGTTCTGCTTTTTTTTTTTTCATTTGTCTCAAGCTATTTTCTAATTTCCCCTGTGATTTATTCTTTGAGTTGTTTGTTGTTTGGGAACTCTTATACATTAATGGCAACTCATTCTAGTAATCTTGCCTGGAAAATCCCATGGCGAGAGGAGCCTGGTGGGTTACAGTCCATGGGATTGCAAAAGTGTTGGATATGACTGAGTGACTAAGCAATGACAACAACTGGTCTTTATTATTTCCTTTCTTCTGCATACTTTGGGTTTTCATTTCTTTTTCCAGTTTCCTACACTAGAAGCTGGGGTCATGGTTTATGAGAACGTTCCATATTTCAAATATAGGCATCTTAATGCTTTAAATTTCCAAATACTGCTTGAGGTATATCCCACAAATTTAATCTGCATTTTCATTTTCAATAAGCTCAAAATACTTTTCAATTTCCCTATTGATTTCTGGCTTGACCCATAGTTCCTGAGAAGTATGTTAGTTTCCAAATATTTGAGGATTTTCCAGATAGCTTTCTGTTATCCATTTACAATCTAATTCCATTTTGGTCTAAAAACATGACTTGAACTCTTTTAATTTTATTAGAATGTTTTCCTAGCCCAGAATATAGTTGGTAAAGATTTAATATGTACATGAGAAAAATGTGTATTCTACTGTCATTAACAGGAATGCTTAATAAATATCAATTAAATACATAAAGTTGGTTAACAAAGTGTTGCTCAAATCATCTACATCATTCTGTATCATTAACTGATTTCTGTACATTCTACCAATTACTGAGATGGAGGTGCTGAAATATCTAACTGTATTTATAGATTTGTCTAGTTCTCTTTTAAGTATTAAATTTTTTTATTAAACGTGTTTCAAAGCATTTTAATTAGGTATATAAATATTTCATTGTTATGTCATAATGATGAATTGACTACTTTGTGTTTATGTTAGTCACTCAGTCATGTCCAACTCCTTGCAACCCCATGGACTGTAGCCTGCAAGGTTCCTCTGTCCGTGGAATTCCCCAGGCAAGAATACTGGAATGGGTAGCCATCCCCTTCTCCAGGAGATCTTCCAGACCCAGGGATTGAACTGGGTCTCCTGCATTGGAGGCAGATTCTTTACTATCTGAGCCACAAGGGAAGCCCTCATGATACAGTTACCCTTCCCTGGTAACATTCTTTGCTTTCAGATTTACTCTGTATGATGAGTTCAAAAAAGTTGTTATTTTTGTGGGTTACATATGGCTTATTATTGATATTTTATGGGTAGAAGTGATACACTTTCCAGGCTTCTGAATCACTTTGAGGGCCAAAGTCCCATGGACAATTTTGAAACCTTTAAGTGTATATCATTACTAGAATTCTTCTAGTTAAACATCATCAGGGAAACTTTTATCATTAGCTACACATTGGCCAGCAATTTTTGGAACACTGTATTTTCACTATGAATATAATAATAAACAATACTAATGATAGATGTATCCACTGAACACTTAGCATATACCCTATATAACATTTAAACAACTTCTATGTAAACAAACAACTTTAAATGCATTTTCTAACTCCCAATAAACAGATAAAATAGGTAATTTTTAAAGTTTTTATGAAAGAAGTAAGTAACTATTTAGTTACATCATTTACTAATGGATAAACTTGTTTTGGGGGCTTCCCTGGTGGCTCAGATGGTAAAGAATCTGCCTGCAGTGTGGAAGACCTGGGTTTGATCCCTGGGTCGGGAAGATCTGGAAAAGGGAATGACTATCCACTTCAGCATTCTTGCCTGGAGAATTCCATGGATAGAGGAGTCTGGCAGGCTACAGTCCAAGGGGTCAAAAAGAGTTGGACTCGACTGAGTGATTAACACTTCCAAACTTGTTTCTGAAGGCCAGATCTTAATTCTATTGCACTGAATCCATATTACATTTATATAGTATTTCACGGTTTACTAGGGATCTTGTTTATGTTAGTTTTAGGCCAAACAAGAGAGTTTTTAAAATCTGTTTTTAAAATCTGATGAGATAATTGAAGCTCAGAGCAATTTTTTGACTAACCCAAAGTTTCACCCTCAGTTCACTTCAGTTCAGTCACTCAGTTGTGTCCGACTCTGTGACCCCATGGACTGCAGCTTGCCAGGCCTCCCCGTCCATCACCAACTCCCAGAGTTTATACAAACTCATGTCCGTTGAGTTGGTGGTGCCACCCAACCATCTCAACCTCTGTTGTTTCCTTCTCCTCCCACCTTCAATCTTTCCCAGCATCAGGGTCTTTTCAAATGAGTCAGTTCTTCACATCAGGTGGCCAAAGTATTGAAATCTCACCGTAACTACTGGGAAAATCAGATTTAAAATGTTAATTTCTTGGATTCGGTTCAGTTCAGCTCAGTTCGGTCACTCAGTCGTGTCTGACTCTTTGTGACCCCATGAACTGCAGCACTCCATGCTTTCCTGTGCATCACCAATTCCCGGAGTTTACTCAGACTCAAGTCCATTGAGTCGGTGATGCTATTCAACCATCTCATCCTCTGTCATCCCCTTCTCCCGCCTTCAATCATTCCCAGCATAAGGGACTTTTCGAATGAGTCAGTTCTTTGCATCAGGTGGCCAAAGTACTGGAGTTTCAGCTTCAGCATCAGTCCTTCCAATGAATATTCAGGACTGATTTCCTTTAGAATGGATTGGTTGGATCTTCTTGCAGTCCAAGGGACTCTCAAGAGTCTTCTCCAACACACAGTTCAAAAGCATCAATTCTTCGGCGCTCAGCTTTCTTGATAGTCCAACTCTCACATCCATACATGACTACTGGTAAATCCATAGCCTTGACTAGATGGACCTTTGTTGGCAAAGTAATGTCTCTGCTTTTTAATATGCTGTCTAGGTTGGACATCAGAGAAGGCAATGGCACCCCACTCCAGTACTCTTGCCTGGAGAATCCCATGGATGGAGGAGCCTGGTAGCCTGCAGTCCATGGGGTCGCAAAGAGTCGGACATGACTGAGTGACTTCACTTTCACTTTTCACTTTCATGCACTGGAGAAGGAAATGGCGACCCACTCCAGTGTTCTTGCCTGGAGAATCCCAGGGACAGCGGAGCCTGGTGGGCTGCTGTCTATGGGGTCGCACAGAGTCGGATACAACTGAAGCGACTTAGCCGCAGCAGCAGCAGCAGGTTGGTCATAATTTTTCTTCCAAGGAGTAAGCATCTTTTAATTTCATGGCTGCAGTCACCACCTGCAGTGATTTTGGAGCTCCCCAAAATAAAGTCTGTCACTGTTTCCTGGATTCAAGCGCAGCAGTTTTTCTACTAGATCAATCTAACACTAAGTCACAGGTAATAAAAGAAATTTGCTTTTATATTAGTCACTAACAATTACTGAAGCATACTGAATCATGCTATATTCTAGAGTATGATTATACATTATTTTGTATTGTTGGCAATAAAATTGGCTGTTGGTAATTAAATTGTACTAGTGGCTTGGGGGGAGGTTATTTTAGTTATAAAGTCAGTACTATTTATCATTTATAAGGTGGGCCTAAAAATAGATAGAATGTATGTGTTTTGTATTCACCTGAAAATGTAGTACAGCTTGAAATATGTGCTTACCTAACAGTACAAATATTCCCACACAATGCTGGTAAAAATGTCTGAGCATTCACCACATTTATTTGATGATGAATTTGATTTATTTGATGGTGAATTTGATGAAGCCAAGAGGCCATGCTATTAATCTAGTTCACTGGCTTCATATACTTAACAAAAGAACCCTCTTAGAAATAAAATCATAGGTGAAATGTAAGGAACAGAATAGATGAAAGAGGCGCTGTTTTGGTTAAATCATGGAAATGTTGCTTCAGTATGACTTGGATACCCTTTCAGTTCCCTTAGAACAGTAGCTAGTACTTTATAGAGAATAGTTTGCTTAAAGATAAAATGACTTCTAATTCCTTCTTATTCCACAGATACCCTTATAAATGTAATGGGTTGTTAACATTTTTGTGTCAGATCTGTTTGTTCCAAATAATGTAGCTTGACAAAGCAGTTACTAGAAACATTGCTACTCTATGTTTCCTTCAAAAACTTGTTATATATATAATCCTAACAGATTTAAGTGGGAAAGTAATGCTTTCTGTTATTATGGAAAAATACAAATTTGGAATCCAAATCTGGAAAAAGAAAGTTAAGGTAATGAAAGTCTGATTTTATGTTTCCCTACATAATTACCTTTGTAGAACTGATATACCACTTCCTATTTCTCATTCAACTCCTAACGACATCAGAAATACAGGACAGATACTCTTACCTTGAATTACACTAATTATTCTAACACATGTGAAGTGATGATGAAGTGAAAGTTGCTCAGTTATTGTCCGACTCTTTGCGACCTCATGGACTATACAGTCCACAGAATTCTCTAGGCCAGCATACTGGAGTGGGTAGCCTTTCCTTCTCTAGGGCATCTTCTCATCCCAGGGATCGAACCAGGTCTCCCACATTGCTGGTGGATTCTTTAGCAGTTGAGCCACAAGGAACAGAATGCTCTATTCAAATAGTTTTATGAAAAATCAATAGAACTAATTCCTTCATTGTATGAAAGAATCCATAAGCAGTTTTCTTTGGGCAATTTGAGCTGGGGAGGTGAAGAACTGAGCCTAATATCAGACTTCCCTGATGGGGCAGCACACCTTCTTAATGCTTGGACTGTGATCCCCAGCATTACTCTGCTTTTCATTCTTCTAGATCCAGAGGCCACACAGCAGTCATTGGTATTCACCACTTTCCCCAGGCTCATGTATTCTCTGATATAAGACTCACATACTGCTTATTTCCATTCTCTTATTGCTTCCCAGATACCCATGTCTTTCTCTTTTTAATCCTAAGCAGAGTTTTCATCTTTCTGAATCAAGACAGGACGCTCTCCCCATCTGATATATTGTGTTTTCTAAGTGAAACCTCTTTCAATGTCACTGATTTGCAGTGGATTTTCTCTTTAGTGTTCGTTTTCATCTTTCTGAATCAAGACAGGACCCTCTCCCCATCTGATATATTGTGTTTTCTAAGTGAAACTTCTTTCAATGTCACTGATTTGCAGTGGATTTTCTCTTTAGTGTTCGTCAGTGCACTATGCTATTGAGTAAAGCTAAAACTTTATTATTTACTACAGTGTTTGATTTAACTAATCTTTTTCTGACTAATACAGACTCTGGATCTTTGAAATCCACATTAAGGTTTTAACTCCTCTAAAAGAACTCTAGATTTCAAACATGACTTCTAATATATGCAGAATATCTAAAAAAACAAGCTTTGTGACAGGATCAGAACATTAAAAAATACCAGTGTTACCACTAATGAAAAATTATGCTGCAAATCAACATTTTTAAAGGAAGTTTAAAAAATAACATTTTACCTTAAATTTATGGAGAAACCACCACCAAAAGCAATCATGCAAAAGAGCAATAGAGGCTTCTGAGAGAAAATGAGTTCTCCAGATTTTAAAAACTTTTCCCTATGGAAAAAAGATACATATAATCAAATTAATATGTATTATAAGACACGTTAATATAAATAGGCTTTATAAAGAATATGTATTTAATAGTTATAGACTACCACTGCTCAATAGAAATTTAATGTGAGCCATATATATATTTTCTAGTAGACATTTTAACAAGGTAAAAAGGTGATGTTTTAGTGACATTTAACCAAATATATTTAAAGTATTGGTATTATAATAAATTAGTATTATATAAAGTATTAGTATATACATAAAGTATTAGTATTTATAAATGTTATAAAATTATTAATGAAATATTTTACATTCCTTTGGGTACTAGGTCCTTGAAATATAGTATATATTTTATATTTACAGCACATCTCAATTTGAACACTGTATTTTCTTAAAAAATACTAGATCATAATTAGATTTTATAAAATATATGGTTATTATTTTTTAACTCTAATTTAAAGTTGTTCAATAATTGAATCAAGTAATTTTAAAATTTATGTATAATTAAAGTAAAAAATTTTTAAAATTCAGCTAATCACAGGCATAGAAAATAAACTTAAGGTTATCAAAAGGGAAATAGTGGAGAGGGATAAATCATAAGTTTGGGATTAACAGATACACACTACTATATATAAAATAAGTAAGAAGGTCCCACTGTATAGCATAGGAAACTATATTCAATACCTTGTAATAACCTATAGTGGAAATACCTTCTAATAACCTATAATGAAAAAAAAACCTTAAAAAGTATATATATATAATATATATTATATAGTATAACTGAATCACGTTGCTGTACCCCAGAAACCGATGCAACACTGTTAAACTATTTTTCAATAAAAAAATTCAACTGAGTTACAACAGGCATATTTCATATGCTAAGTAATCACATTTGGTTAGCAGTTATTGAAATGGCAGTATAGGCTTGACCAGGACTAGCAAAAATCCAGGACACATGCTACAGTTTCCCTTTTATGATAAAGACAGATATCAACAATCATGGGATTCTAACCCAATGGGCCCCATCGTAAGTCTAGAGCCTAACTAAACATAGTGTTCTTTCTTAGCAATTCATCAAAACGGGCACATGAAGTTAATTTACCATGACTACTAGAGACTAAGTCTTGGTTTAAAAAGGTACATTCAATGGATCATTTTATCTTATTCACTAAAAGTTTTTAGTGAATGCCAGATTCAGTACAGTTCAAGCTTTCTTTCAATGAAATCCATAGGTAGGAACTTTTCTTCCTCAAGTACAAGTCTACAAAAAGGATATTGTACAAACTTTTATGTGTGCCCAGTCAGTTCAGTACTGTCCGACTCTGTGACCCAACAGACTATAGCTGGCTAGGCTCCTCTGTCCATGGGATTTCCCAGGTAAGAAGACTGGAGGGGGTTGCCATTTCCTTCTCCAGGGGATCTTCCTCATCAAGGGACTGAACCTGCACCTCCTGTATTGGTAGGAGAATTCTTTACCCCTGAGTCAGCAGGGAAACCTGCAAACTTTTAAACCAAGGAGATTTTTTATCATGCATTCTGTAGGGGCACTTCTTTTTCAGAGGCCACTTTTTATAGAGTACACTGGTAACAGCTTCAACTTATTTAGTACTCCTTAATTACAAAAAACATAAAGAAAAAAGTAGAAAGTTAAAAGAGAAAAATCTGAATTTTTGTTGAAATACTTCCAAATTTCAAGCAAGCATGCTTTTCAGTGTAAACTAATCACATGATTGCTTCTGTTCTAAGCTTTGGTTATGCTTAGTGACACTAACTTTCGGGAAAATTCCAAATTCTGCAAATTATCATCAGTATTGAGTCAAAACAACAAAAAATAGAAATCAGCCAAAAAAATCCAAACCCAGCTTAAAAAATTAAATGGTACTTTCTTCCATTAACCTTTACCTTTTGTGATACTTTGATTCATATAAATGTAAACATACCTTGAAGCCTATATACTATCTGACTTGGAACTTTTTCTCCTATTACTGATTCTTTTGATAGGTTGGATAAAACTATTCCTAATGTCCTCTAAGACATTTTGTGTATATCTGTATGTTTGTGGCTCAGCTTTCTCATAATATAGGCTTTTTCTCACCCAATTCAATAAAATTTTTACTAAGCATCATCTGAAGTCAAGGTTCTATTCTGGGTGGTACAGGGGATAATTTACACTTTATCAAGAAACTTAATCTATGACTGTATGTGCAAGAATGTTATTTGGACAGGATAACATGAATCCAGTCAATTTCATGTATTGCCTTGCCTTCAAGCATGTAACAGTAACCCTTTAACATTCTCTTCCCAAGCTTTAGATTCATAAAGTTCAGACTCTTGGGAAGTTACAATAAGCATTTCTATGAAATAACATTCCTTCTGATATTATTTTCCTACACTTATTTTTTCTTCACTTTAATTTCATCATCTATTTGAATGCCATTGCATTGCACATGTGTAGCAGGCCAATTGCCTTCTCATACTGTTCATAGAGTTCTCACAGCAAGAATACTGGTGGGGTTTCTCATTACCTCCTCCAGGGGACCATGTTCTCTCAGAACCTTTGACTGTGTGGGTTACAAAAAACCATGGAAAATTCTTAAAGAGGGGAATACCAGACCATCTTACCTTCTCCTGAAAAACCTGTATGCAGCTCAAGAAGCAACAGGTAGACCCACAATGGAACAACTCACTGGTTCAAACTTGGGAAAGGAGTACAAGGCTGTATATTGTCACCCTATTTAACTTATATGCAGGTACATCATGCAAAATGCAAGGCTGGAAGAATCACAAGCTGGAATCAAGACTGCCAGGAGATATATCAAGAACCTCAGATACGCAGATGGTACTGTTCTAATGGCAGAAAGTAAAGAGGAACTAAAGAGCCTCTTGATGGGGTGAAAGAGGAGAGTGGAAAAGCTGGTTTAAAAGTGAACATTCAAAAAACTAAGATCATGGCATCTGGTCCCATCACTTCATGATAAATAGAAGGGGAAAAAGTAGAAGCAGTGACATATTTTCTTGGGGTCCAAAAATCACTTCAGACAGTGACTGCAGCCATGAAACTGAAAGATACTTGCTCCTTGGAAGAAAAGCTATGAAAAACAGAGTATTAAAAAGCAAAGACATAACTTTGCTTACAAAGGTCCATATATAGTCAAAGCTGTGGTTTTTCTAGTAGTCACACACAGATGTGAGAGCTGGACTATAAAGAAGGCTGAGTGCTAAAGAACTGATGCTTTCAAACTGTGGAGATGGAAAATATCCTTGAGGGTCCTTTGGACAACAAGGAGATCAAACTAGTCAATCCTAAAGGAAATCAACTCTGAATGTTCATTACAAGGACTGTTGCTGAACACTTTGGCCACCTGATGCAAAGAGCCAACTCACTGGAAAAGACTCTTATGTTGGGAAAAATTGAAGGCAAAAGGAGAATGGAGTGGCAGAGGATGAGATGGTTAGGTAGCATCATCAACTTGAAGGACATGAATTTGAGCAAACTCCAGGAGACAGTGCAGGACAGGGAAGCTTGGCGTGTTGCAGTTCATGGGGTCGCAAAGAGTTGAGGACACAGCAATTGAACGATGACAACAGGCCCATTAAAATTCTTTTTTCAAATCAGCCAGGTGTATTAACAAATAGAACACTGGTTATCTATGTCTAGATATACCACTGCTTGTTGTTATTGATAGATGCTAAGTCATGTCCAGCTCTTTGTGAACCCATGGACTGTAGCCTGCCAAGCTTCTCTGTCCTTGGTATACTCCAGGCAAGAGTACTGGAGTGGGTTGCCACTTCCTACTCCAGGGGATCTTCCCAACTCAGGGATCATGCCCACCTCTCCTATATTGGCAGGTGGATTCTTTACCACTGAACTACCAGGGAAGCCCATACTGTTGGTACATATATTCAAAATATCCTAAACCTAGCTACTTGTCATATCCTGTGCACTTCTTACCCCAAACCCATATCTACTTACACTCCTCCCTTTTTCACTTATCAAAAATGCTGGCATCCTTCAAGTATACAAAATACTCCTCACAGCTGTACTTCTATGTCTTGTTTATGTGACTGACTTGTGATCTATGTTAGATGTACAGGCATCCATGTTTAAAATATAGTCCCATTTTAGAATACAAAATGCTAACATTAAAGATTATAGAATGTCTAGAACATTCCTAAGATTATTTTAACAATACTTAATATTAATTTCTTTATTATAAAACCTTTTCCCTGAGGAAACTTTGGAAAATAGACAAAGTAACCAACATGCTCATGATCCAGGCATAATCATACCACCCATAGTTTTCTCTTAAAAAAATGCAATCAGGTGATTGTATCATGAGGGCAAACTAAGCCTTCCCTCTCATCAATATCCCATAAAATATAAAAGAGAATTGAGAAACATCTGTATTAGCATAGAAAATAAGAAAAGGTGTCATTACTAAATCATTTTAGGTGGTTTTCAAATGAGTTCTGTGGTTTCCTAATGAAGGGGCAAATAGGAGGCCCAAATCAGGTTAATCAGACTATTTCTTGGAATATTTTTTCTTGAGGATGAAACACTAAAGTGACACACTCTCATCTTGAAGAGGAATGGGCAGAAAATAATGGCTGACACTGATTTATCCAAGTTTAATGGTTGACTGTGCTCCTTCTGGGAAATGGCAACCCACTCCAGTGTTCTTGCCTAGAGAATCCCAGGGACGGGGGAGCCTGGTGGACTGCCGTCTATGGGGTCGCACAGAGTTGGACATGACTGATTTGACTTAGCAGCAACAGCAGTGCTCCTTCTGTTCATCTATAGGGGACTATAGTAGGAGAGAAGATTGATTTTGTGTTGAGAAATAAAGAGCCACAGGAAGGCTAGTGGTGAAGGACAGGAAGAAGGTCTGTGTGCATGCATGCTAAGTTGCTTCAGTTGTGTCCAACTCTTTGTGACCCCATGGACTGGAGCCTGCCAGGCTCCTCTATCCATAGGATTCTCCAGGCAAAAATACTGGAGTAGGTTGCTGTGCCCACCTTCAAGGGATCTTCACAACCCAGGAATTGAACCCCAAGTCTCTTACCTCTCCTGCACTGGCAGGTGGGTTTTTACCACAAGCACTGCCTGGGAAGCTCCAAGAAGAGGGTCTACTAAGAGCCAAGTCCATCTCAGAGTCTGCCTGGAGGTACAAGGAGCATTGTCCAAGTCCCCAGGAAACAGAAACCTTTTTAGTTGATCACTTAATATTTAAATGAGAGGGAAATCAATACCCAAAACTACTCAAATCTCATCCTATACCTGGCATTCAATGGCCAATGATTTATTTACCTTCCTGTGTGCAGTTTTTCAATAAACTGGCTATTGATACTTCTGTAGAGATATTTCTTAAAAATTCATCAGAAACTTGAATGTTCAAAAGGTGGGGCTGTGGGGAAGGGTTCTCCTAAATTATCTTGACATCAAAATGAGCAGGCTAACATATCGTGAGCTGATAGAGCAGGAAAAGGGGGAAACACCTGTTACAGTCATGTGCCAACCCAATGCACACTAGCAACCTCAGACTCCTGAGGCAGTAACACAGAATCAAATATATTCTCTTTTGGTGATCAAGGTGTTAAAAATATCACTGGCCTTTTTTGCTAGACTTAATGCCTGAAAGAATTAACTCTTGCTTAATACCTAATCTGTCATAGCTTTAAATAAAGGCCTAATTCATTAAATCATATTCTCAAAATTTATCATATAATAGAAATAAAATAATATTTACATACATCAAAGTTATGGGCCTTTAAAATAAAAAGATAAATTCGTTCAGCATTCAGATGTCTAGGTAGCTGAGTAAGCTCATTTGTTCTGAATCCTGGGAAGTTACAACCCTAGAAAGAAGGAAAATCACATAACAGGAATTACTTAATTCTTTTCATATAACTACAGAAGACAGGTAAAAATTTTACTAGCATTCATTAGCAATTATATTACAAACTTTTACTAAAAATAAGTAAATATACTTTATCCCACCTAAGAAAAATCTTCATATTATCTGTTTCTATGATATTAAGAGCCCTGGAATAGTCATATGCCAAATTTCAAAGCAAAAGCAATTATTTCAGAATTTTAACTTAAATTACAACAAATTTTAGATAGGCTACACATAAAGAAACTGACAAGTCAGAAAAAGACAGCTTTTGTATTTTTTCCAACTCTCTCCTGGGGCCATTATCTGTATTTATTGCTATATTACTTTAAACATTCTTTTAGTTCCACATAATATTTTTGATATATAATCTCATAAAGCAGAAATTTTAAATACCTCTATATCCTTCTTTGTCTCCATTTCATCTGAAAGCTGGAAAAAATTTAAAATAAAATCTTAAAATTCTAAATTTAAGAAGTTTTAGACTTTGTAACTCTACTAAGTATGTGTGTGTGTGTGTGTGTGTGTCTTACTGAGACAGAGAATGCTGTTGCTACATAAGATCCTGAGAATACAAAAATATTCCTTGCCCTCAAGTTAGTCTGAGGGCAAGAGAGGAGTCAGCTACATATACAAAACACAAAGACATAAGAGCTATAATAGAAATATATACCAACTACTTATTGCAGTTTGATTTTTCTGGGAAACAGACTGTGAGGTGGAACACCAGTTTAGTGTTCAGAATGTTTATGGGGATTGATTATCAACGGAAGGCAAGAGGAGACAGACAGAAGATGGAAAAATCAGCTATGTATGAGACAAGTCAGTCAGCCCTGACCCTGAGCAGAGCTCTAAAAGTGAAAGGACCCATAGCAGTTGTCCTGAACTGGGTTGAAACAGTCAGGTCTTTCTGTTTCCAACTTGTGAGTCCTGGACGGTAGTGTGAGTGAGTAATTCCTAGATGATAGTTTCCTTGGGAGAGGAGGTTCTGTCTATGAGAGCAATCCCTGAAGGAACTGACAGCTGAAGGATATCCACTAACAACGCTTTTAGCAGCTGGGGCAAAAGGTCCTTCTATGAAGGGGAATCTGGGTGGCACATCTTCATGTCCACGACACCACTTTACACAGAAAACAGGAGCCCTTCTGTCTAGATTAGTTTGGGTGTTCTAGACATGCTAATATATTGTTTATTAACTACCCTGCAGGCAAGATTATACACATTACACACATACATGTATCATTTAAGAGATGACATAGGAAACTAATTAGAAAGGGTGATTATATACTGCCATATGAAAGAGGATCATGTTATTGCCATTTAAAGTATTGGCAAATGGATAGAAAAGAGAAGGAAAATGAGATCAGTTATAAGAAATAAAGCTGTATGCTTGAGAGCTACAGACATAATTGGTCAATCAAGATGGGATTTTAAAAGATATTAATCTTGAAGTCCTGGTTTTAGTTTGCAGAAAACGAAGAAACACTGGAAGTTTTCAAAGAGTAGAGTAACAGTAACACAAAACTAGTTCTTGATAATACAATCTGGAAAATATACCACAAAAATGTAAACAATAAATTTAAAAATCCTGATAAAATCCAGTAAGACATATTTAACAAAATTATCATTAAAAAATTTGTTAGTGCAATTCACTTAAAAGGTCATTTCAAGAGATCCCGAAAAGCATTTGATAAAATTCACTAGAATTTTTGAAATCCTTTTGAAAATACAAAATTTACAATGACTAACATAACTAGCTATGTTGGCTTAAAACTCAACATTCAGAAAACTAAGATATGGCATCTGGTCCCATCACTTCATGGCAAGTAGATGGGGAAACACTGGCAACAGTGACAGACTTTATTTTGGGGGGCTCCAAAATCACTGCAGATAGTGACTGCTGCCATGAAATTAAAAGATGCTTGCTCTTTGGAAGAAAAGTTATGACCAACCTACGCAGCTTATTTAAAAGCAGAGACATTACTTGGCCAACAAAGGTCTGTCTGGTCAAAGATATGGTTTTTCCAGTAGTCAAGTATGGATGTGAGAGTTGGACTATAAAGAAAGCTGAGTGCAGAAGAATTGATGCTTTTGAACTGTGGTGTTGGAGAAGACTCCTAAGAGTCCCTTGGACTGCAAGGAGATCCAACTAGTCAATCCTAAAGAAAATCAGTCCTGAACATTCATTGGAAGGACTGATGCTAAAGTTGAAACTCCAATACTTCAGTCACCTGATGCAAAGAACTGACTCATTTGAAAAGACCCTGATGCTGGGCAAGATTGAAGGCGGGAGGAGAAGGGGACAACAGAGGATGAGATGGTTGGATGGCATCACCGACTCGGTGGACATGAGTTTGAGTAAACCTCCGGGAGTTAGTGATGGATAGGGAAGCCTGGCATGCTACAGTTCATGGAGTCACAAAGAGTCAGACACTACTGAGTGACTGAACTGAACTGTACCTCCTTTCTAGAAAACAGTTTGGCAATATGTATCAAAACACTTAGATTTTCACATTTTTCCCATGTATTAGTAGTTTCACTCCTGAAATTTATCATAAAATAATCATGCATAATCACAAATTTTAGCTCCAAATATGTTCCTAGCAGCTTTGTAAATAATAATGAAATTTAACCAAACTTCCAACAAGAAGGCCATTACATTAGTTTATTTTTTTAAATGATGTAGAAACCCTTCTACATTTTGTAATGGTAAAAATTCCATAAAACATTTAATTTTTTATGTTTAAAAGTTAGTTTAATTTGAACTTAAAATGTTTTTAAATAAAAAGAAAAATGAAAATAACAATAGTGAGATATGTTATTTATCTATAAATGATAAAATAAAGATGCTTATCCTGTTTAATGCTTATTGCTTAATTTTCTATAATGACTACCTTAGTCATAATCAGGAAAAATAACATAGAAAGTAATTTGAAATTTAAAAAATATTTGAGGAGGTGGATGGATGAATGGCTGCATTTCAAGTTTTTCTAGCTTTAATTTTAGAATGTATTTTTTGAAAAGATGAAGTTTATCAAAGTAACTCAAAAGCCTATTATAATTCTAATCAAACTCTCAGAGATTTTTTTTTTAAAGTTAACAAAGTATTTCTATAGGCAATAAAAACTGTTATTTTTTCCTAAAGGAAAAGGACATATGGGACATATACCCCTAAGTATAAGATGTTATAAATTTTTAAATAAGCGGAGGATAAAATAAGTCTTCAAATAAATTGCAGTGATGTGAGAACACCAACAGTCATACCGAGTGTATAAAGAAGACTATGAGCCCAGCTATTTTAAAAATACAGGGATAGATAAATGGTAAAAGACTAAAAGGAAATTTTTAATGTTATCAATGCTTATCTATGAACTTATAGTGATGTATTCTGTGAAATAGTTTTTCAAGCAAGATGAAAACAAATACCATACCATTATCTTCTTTTCCTTATGGTACTTCTTTAGAAATGCCTTGTATTGTTTCAGTTTTCCATGAGAAACTTTAAAAAATGAGAGTTTACAACATGTAAATACAGAAATATCCTTTAAAATTGAAAAGCAGATTATATGTAATTATATATATTAAGAAAATTACATATAAAACTATCCAATGATATCAACCAGTTATTAAATTTTTATAATTTATTTAATGGAAGGATAATTATAATATTGTGATGGTTTTTTGACATACATCAACATGAATCAGCCATAGGCACATACATGTCCCCTTACTCCTGGTCACCCCTCCCACCTCACCCCATCCCTCCTGATTGTCACAGAGCATCAGCTTTGGGGTCCCAAACTCCAATTAAGTATTTTGATAAGCATAATGCTAGATGCATAATGCTAGTCTGAGTTAAATTTTATCTTTTTCCTATTCCTTTTGCTATTTAGAAATGTCACCTTCCAATTAGTCTCTCTTTAGAGCAAGACAGACTTGCTCCTATATCTACAATTTTACCTTAATCCCTTCTTACTGAACAACTCCAAGTTTTTCAACCAGCTCAGCCACTCACATTTGGTTGTTTCATGGTCACCTTAAATACAATACGGTACAGGACTCTGGAGCATGGCCCAGTGAAAGACTATGGGGGCTTTGAAGTCAGATAATCTAGACTTGAGTCTAAGCTCTGATACTTACATACTGAGGACAATGAGTAAACAAAAAGTTGCTTTTTAAAATTATGCACACATGCTTTCTCTCTCCCTGTATGTTTATATAGACACAGCTGTATATATGTAGCTTGTATAATTTCAAAAAATTTTTAAATAATTAAAAATATCATAAGAAAATTCTCACAGTAGTGAATTTAACATTGTATTTAAACACACTCAGATTTTGAAAACTCAAGGTCTGAAAAGGATATTAAGTAGCTAAATAATTACATGTTTAATACACAGAAAATATAAGTACAACCAATATCATTCTTAAGACATATATGACATATATGTTTGCCCATTAAAGAATAAGAATCACCATTAGTATCTAAAAGTGTTCTGAAAGTGTTAAAAATACAACTAGATAAAGGTTATATAAATACTGAAAAGCAGTAAAAATTATCATTACTTACAGATAAGCTTTTCACTCAGTCTGCAGTTATCCAATAGTGAATGCTAAGTATTTCTCACAAACTAACTTAGCTTATATAGGTGAAGTCTCACTCCTTTTAATTTGGTTATAGGTCTAACTGTTTTTATATCTTGATTCTTGCTGACTTGCTTGTCTCTGGTACCAATATTTGTTAATGCAACTCTGTTTCTCTGATATTCAGTTATCTCTGCTCCAGCTCAAGAACTGTTTTAGGTTTTGTCCCAGCAACACTTTCTTTGAATCCAAATGGTCAAGTTCAACTAAAAAGACATACTGGACCATTTTGAAATGAAAAGGTTTTAAAATAAAAAAAATTTATGTTTTTAGATATTTTATATCTTAGGATTTCATTCTTTATGAGAATACACACACATATAGACACAAACACAACAGACACACTTACAACTGACAATTACTTTATGCATAAGAAAAAATAGATTTACTTGTCCTGGAAATTATTCTGTTCCACTCAAATATTTCAGAAGCATGGTTTTTCAAAAGAATTGAATATTCTGCTAGTCTTGATTCCATGGCCATAGCTGCATCATCTACTCGCAGGACATTTCCCCACAGATGTGTATAAATGGAAGTAAATGAACTATCTTGTTTTATTTTTTTCATAGTGTGTAACAATTCATCACTTTCCCATAAATGGATTTCCTTTGGCCAATGATCCTGCAGAAAATGTGAGACAATACAACTCAAACCAATTTTTAAATGAATCTAAAGAGTTCAAAAAACAATGAGCTAGAATTGAAGTTTTATTCTACAGCATGATTTTTATTAAATGTATATTTTTTAATTTGTAAAAAACCTTAAACTTTAGAAGTTTCAAATGCTTTACAAAAACCTTTCTTCCTGAATCATTTGAAAGTAAATTGCTTATTTGACTGATGCCCCTATCATCCTTGAATACTTGAGCATTTGTCTCCAAAGAACAAAAACATTCCCCTGCATAACCAACTATAACCATCAGAATAAGGAAACTGGCATTATTACATCATTCCTATATAAGTCTCTGAGATTACTTGAGTTTGTCAACTAAATCAATAATGCTCTTTATGGTAAAAGGATCTAGTTCAGTTATCACACATTGCATTTAAGCATCATATGTCTTTAATCCCCTTCTCTACAACAGTTCCTCAGTCTTGACCTCTATGTAATTAAAGCCATGAGTTCATACTGATAAATCTAATTCCAGTTCCAAACATTCTAGTTTTCTCTTTTTCCATATCATAATTACCATTTCCAAGAATGAAAAACCTAACTGACATTATCTTAAATATATGTACTGATTTGATCAATCTTCTCAGGTAACCAATCTCTCCTTTCCACTGCTAGACTCTTCAGTGTATGGATGCCCTTCTTATTCTGCTTAGGCTCTGACTTTCCAAACCAGGAAACAGTCTGTCTCTGCATTTCCTGGAACCACCTCCCCACCCTGGTCACACACAAATACCGTCCTCACCCCTTTGGACTCAGACACCTGTGGGGTCACATGGATACCTTCCCCATGGTGTTAGAGTTCAGAAAGCCTGCTCTGGGTGACCACAGAACATTTCCTTCCCCTACCAATGTGGATGCTGCTTTGTTTTGACCCCCAAATGGCTTTATGACTACATTGTTCAGGAAGGGAAGTAGAAGAAGGAAAAGGAAAGAAAGGGGAATCACAACATTAATATTTGCAAATCTAAACACACGATAATATTTTGATTGAGTTGTTGAATACCAAAACAAAGAAAGATAATGGACATAATGAAAGGTTTGTGAATAAGAGAATGCTTTCTGGAATAGTAGCAGTTTTCATAGGATGAAACTCTTTTAAGAAGGATGTGGGTAAGATATTCTGGGCATTTAGCTTAAATGGGAATAAATCTGAAGTCTGCAGATTAGAAATTTTAAATTTTGCCTTGGCCTATTCTACTTCCATTTTTCTTCCTTTAAAAGATTCCTTAGTGACTTAGTGAAGTTGATCAGTCGTGTCTGACTCTGCTACCCCATGGATTGTAGCCTACCAGGCTCTTCAGTCCATGGAATTTTCCAGGCAAGAGTACTGGAGTGGGTTGCCATTTCCTTCTCCAGGGGATCTTCCTGGCCCAGGGATCGAACCCGGGTCTCCCGCATTGCAGGCAGACACTTTACCATCTAAGCCACCAGGGAAGCCCTAAATTCACTATATGCTGTAATGGTAACAGGTACCTGAATAATACCCAGAGTTCAATGCTGAAAAACTTCCCCAGCAGGACCTAGGTTCCCCTGCCATTTTGGAAAAAGAGAATTTTAGATGCATCAATGCACTCTCACAAATCCTACAAACATACATCTTAAACAAAACACATAACCACCTGGGGAAGTTTTCCAGATTTCCTTAAAATCTGGATATTATGTGTCAAAAATACAAAGATCTCTGAAAAATAAGATATGATCACAAGATACACCCCCTGGAGACAAACATTGTCAAATTAGAATGACAGCCACATTTGAAAACATAGTCCTTATGTTAGGGATCATCCCGATTGTTAGGGAAGTTAGGAAAGTGGCAAGAAGCTAAAATGGAAATGAATTTGGGGAAAGTGGGGAAAGGCTTAAATGGAAATGAAATTGCACAGATTTTACAACATGCTTGAGGGTTTATGAAAATACACCTTTATGTCAGACTCGAGATATTACAACTCTTATTCAAGATATTGAATTATACTATATAATTATACTATGAATAAAGTATCCTGAAATTCTACCAGCTTGATTAGATTGTTTTCTCTAAATACAGAGATATATCTGGTTAATCTATAAAGGATAAAATTAAGATGCTTATCTTTTTTAGTGCTTTTCTCTTTAATTTTATAAAATGACTCTCTTAGTTATAACCAGAAAAAAAAATTGGTAATTTTGAAATTTAAAAAATTACATTTTAAGGAGGTTGATAGATGAGTGGTGGCACTTAAAGTCTTTATAGCTCTAACACTATGTGATTTTAGAATATATTTTTTAAAAGGACTGTTTCTAAAAGTAATTTCAAAAGTGTACTGTAATTCCAATCAAACTCTCAACAATTTCTTTTGAAACTTTCAAAGTAATTCTAAGGGCAATCAAAAAGAATTGCTGTATCTTCCTAAAGGAAAAGGACTGATATGTGTACCAGTGGTGATGGTCCCATAAAATAGGATATTCTACTCACCAAGTTTTGAAGCTTTAAAAATTCTTCAATGTTCTTTGGAGGTTCTTGCATTTTCTAATGAAGTAAAATCAATATTGTTCATTAACATAAATTCAGATTGTTTATAGGATGGTTATACTTAATTTATTTAAGTACCTCATGATAATGGACTTCAGTTATAATTTTCAGAGCTGTAAGTAAGATACTGTAAACTATTCTCTTTGTACAGTTCTTGTACTTTGAAAAGGGACAGAGATTAATGTTTAAATTCTGAGTCTGCAAACCAAATTCTATAAAAGGCCTCCTTCTCATGCACTTTTCCTACAGAAAAGCTACATATGAATCCTGCTCAATGTCCTCATTTCTAATTCCATCATGAGTTCCAAGATATTTTAGGCTATCTTGGACGGTGTCTACAATAAATTCAGAGTCAATAATATAGAATAACATTCTCCTTTTACTGATGAAATATTTTAAGAGGCACAGAAGTGACCTGGTGAAAATAAATCTTTTAATGTTTCAAAGTAATAAGTTATAATCCCATTTTGTTAGTTTCTTTGTAAATTGAAAATGTAGTCTTTCACCAGACAGATTAATTTTAATCCAGACATTTTACTATTCCTTGGAGACTGCGTACATATTCTTTCTCCTGCTTAGAAGGATCTCTGTTCCAAACTCTCTTCCTTCAATTCATTCTTGACCTATTTAACTCTTATATCAAACATCAAATTAAAAGTCACTTTTCTAGGAAGCCTTCCTAGGTCCCCCAAAGATCCTTTATGGTAACTACAGCAGATCTGTTTCTCTATGAGGACAGAAAATGTAGTGTAATCACTGCTGAAGAGTCAAAATTTCATGTAGTGGCTGGCCAATGGTTGTAAATTATGCACATAAACTGGCAATATTTTTAAATTAATGAATAAATGAGTAGATTAATGTCAAAGAAATGTGTAGGTATTCTAAAAAAATAATAAAACCATTTCTAAAGAATGAAAAACCAATGAGAAGGCAAAAATAACAGGACTTCAGAATATCCTAATATAATACCCTAATGCTCTGAAGATGACATGTCTGAAAAGACAATCTTAAGGTTTAATTTACTAGAACATACTTCATATCAGTAGATACAATGATCAAGATTACAAAATCACAAGGCCATGCTTTGCAAAATGACTACACATTTGAGGTGGAATAGAATATTTCATTGTCGTAATACTGTTTAAAATATGTGAAGAATGTAAGTAAATATATAACAGATAATACAATAACAAAATAAAGAGCATATGTGATAGTCATTATAAAAAATAAGCATACAGAAGCAAAGATGTGTAGAGCTGTCAAGAAATTTTATGAAAAACATGTGGCTTTAGGTCTAGTCAAACTGAGAAAAGAAAAAAATAATAGATGGTGTGCACAGAATACTGAAAGACAAAAAAAAATGTTCATCATATAGTATCTTTAGGGATAGTGAAAATAGCAATTTTACTAGAGGAAAGTCATCAGTATTTTTTGAAATGCACAGAATACAAAGTAATATAATTACAACAATTTAAATGGTATCCTTTTCTCCCTGCCTTATAATGGATGTCAAACCACTTCTAAAAGAAAGCACTAAAAATACCCACATTTCAACTAAAGGGAATTAGAAAAATGAATTAAAGAAATGAAATGTGCATAGGAAAACGTCAGTTAATTTCAATATAAAATTCCAGAGTTCTCTAGGGGGAAAGTTAGAGGGAGGTGAGGCATAAATTAAATAGGCTTATGACCTTGGTAGGATGTAGGATACAAAATGCTAATGATTCCACAGTAACAACAAGAAAATCCTGGACCAAATAAAAATCTTACTTTTCTATGGGGTTCGTGAAAATTGGTGGATGCCACTAAGTAGGACTATATAATTTGTGACAATTTAGAGTCCCAGTGCTCAAAAAATAAGAATTTTAAGATGGTAACATCAGATCACTAAACCTAGTGTAGGGTCCTTCCTATCAGTAGACACATGCAAATGCACAGCTTGCAAGCCCATGAAGCTGCCCTCCTGGGAAACCCTGGTGACCCAAAATCCAGAAAGAAACATCTCGTTTATAAGTAAGTATAAAGTTGTGGCAGTTCCCTTACCTGACAGTGAGTTCTGTGCGGCAATTGTTGTTGGCCTGCCATGGGGCAGTAACTTTGAAGAGATGAAGAGAAATCAGCTGGGCTTCAAGTGTCTGCATGAGCTGGGGAACAGACTGGAGTCTGAAAGATACCCAAATGAAAAAAAATAAATGACTGAACCAAATAGTCCCTTCCCAGGTGCCCACATCTTGCTTCTAAATTTTGTCAAGAAAGCAGCAGTAGAGGAGGGGCTGGAAAGATACAGAACCTAGACAAGCCAACACGTGCTTATAGTACTTGGGTTCCAGGAGCCCAGAGTTGGATCCAAAGGTGAACTGAAATCATCTAAAACTTCATTCCACGTGTGTCCCAACTCAACACTGACAAGCGATAAGAGGTGGCTCTCAAGAGGTAGGTTGGAGGTTGAGTTAGTCACAGGTGAGCTCAATCTAATTAAAGCTACAATCAATCCTAAAGCCCAACTCAAATCTAGGAGGATTTAAAAAAATCAGCCTCTCACTTGAAGTCCTAAGGAGAGAAAAAGGCTTATGCTCTCAAAACTAAAATTAAATTAAACTGAAGTCTCCAAAATTTTAATGTCTAATACACAATAAAACAATTTCAAGACATACAAAGAAGGAAAATGGGATCCATAATCAAAAGAAAATACAGTCAATACAAACCAATTCACTGAGAATCCAGTCATTGTAATTAGCATCAAGGACTTTAAAATATTATAAATACATTAAAGACTTACATTATAGGTTTAATTATAGTGCATGAAGCCATGGAGTATTTTAAGAGTAAAATTCCAAAAAAGAAACAAATGAGAATTCTAGAACTATGCAAACACTAAATATAAGGAAACTGGTGTCTATATTAATATCAGACAAAGTAAACTTTAAGACGAGGAACATTACCAGACATAAATAAGGTTATTTCACATTAACAAAAGGTTAGTTCATTAAGCCACACCAATGACAAATGTGTCTGCATTTACTAAAAGAGCTTCAAAAGAAAGGTAGCAGAAGTTTATAAAACTAAAGGGAAATACAGACGTTGACCTACACCTTGCAGGCCTGCAAGCCTTGTAATTGCTTAGCTGTGAGACAGAATAAAGAACCTGTAAATGGTGACAGAAACATCAACAGTATGAAATCTTACAAGTCCAAAGTCCTGGAGCTACACCTCAACCCAAAAGGCAGCCTGGATATGGCAGTAATCTTCATTGTTCCAGGAAAAGGAGGCCACCATTTATAGGGGCAATTAACCTCAGATTGGCTCATCAGCTACCAGGTAAACTAGCAGAGGTGGGTCCTTTGCAGCCCCACTGGCTAATGAGGGCAAATGTTTCCCCTTGATAAACTAGCAGGTAAAGCTACTTTGGTCCAAGGATTAGAATAATAACCAGGTGGGGAAGGAACTGGTTGAGCAGGGGATATACAAAGAGGAGGAGAACTGCCATTTTGAGGGGTCTGATCTTACAACAGGCAAAACCACAGTGATAGCTGGAGTTTTAGCATATTGCTTTCAGTAACTGATGAATCAAGTACATACACACACACACATACATCAGTCAGGAGATAGAAGATTTGAACAACATTATCAAGCAACTTAACCTAACTGATATTTATAGAACAACTAAATCTTACAAACGTAGAATACACAGTCTTTTTAAGTAATAAAACATGGAACCTTCACCAAGATGGACTCATGCTGTACCGCAAGACAAGACTCAAAAATTCCTAATAGTTGAAATGATTTAGGGTATATTCTCTGACCATAATAGAAAATAGTAACAAAAAGAACTGCTGCTGCTGCTGCTGCTAAGTCACTTCAGTCATGTCCGACTCTGTGCGACCCCAGAGATGGCAGCCCACCAGGCTCCCCCGTCCCTAGGATTCTCCAGGCAAGAACACTGGAGTGGGTTGCCATTTCCTTCTCCAATGTGTGAAAGTGAAAAGTGAAAGTGAAGTCGCTCAGTCATGCCCAACTCTTAGTGACCCCATGGACTGCAGCCTACCAGGCTCCTCCATCCATGGGATTTTCCAGGCAAGAGTACTGGAGTGGGGTGCCATTGCCTTCTCCGAAAGACAACTAAAGAATCCTTAAATATTAAATAATCCATTTCTAGCTCAAAGAGGAAGCAATAAGAAAAATTAGAAAATTTTCTAACTGAAAGATAATGAAAACACAATGTATCAAACTTTATGGGATACACCTAAACCTATGCTTAGAGGAAAACACAGTGCTAAGAATGCTAAAAAAACAGAAAAGAATTTAAAAATAAGTAGAAAAAGGAGTAAAATATATGAGAAGATGAAATAAAAATATGAAAATAGAGAACTCAACAAATTGAAAGTTGGTCTTTTAGAAGATTTTTAAAAAGATACTTGAGTAGGTTGAATTTTTAAAATGTGAGAAAAAAATAAATGACCAATACCACGAAGGATGAAAAGGATGTCATTAGGGAACCTAAACTGATTAAATGACTTAGGGGCATATAATTTAAAACTTGTGTCAATAATTTAACAACCTACATGAAATGGGCAAATCCTTAAAAACAATAATCACCAAAACTGAAAGAAGATGATAAAGCAACTTTCAAAAATGGAGGAGGGAATACTTTCTTATAAAGCCAGTATAACTTTGATAACAAAATCTGACAAGAAGATTACCAAAAAAAAGAAAATTATAAACCAAATGTCCCTCAAGAACACAGATACAAATATCATTAGCGAATTACTAGCAACTTAAGGAAAGTCAGGTATAAAAAGGATACGTCATGCTCATGTGTGATTTACCCTGGAATTCCAAAATCAGTGATAATACTTTTATATTGTCTCTAATATATCATCAGTGTGGAGTAGGATTCAGAGCTATGAAATCTGTGATAATCTTTAATGGATGAATTTCTAGATTCTATGTAACTGTTTAAACTTATTTTTACTCAGAATAATGACACATTACTCAAGAGTCATAGAAGACTTGAACAAAAATATTTTACATTTAGGTATTTTAACTTTAAACCTAGTATTTTCAAAACACAATTCATGATCATTGCTAGAAACACAAGTCCTTAGTAGATAAACCTTATTCTTATTTTTAATTATAGAGGTTTCAAAATTATCTAGGTTTGAAGTCTGAATTATCTTAAACTCTTTCTTCTGCTTCATTATCTCCTATATACATTTTATCTACACAATTCCTTTAAAATATCTTTAATCATGCCTACTTTAACATTTCTAATATTAACATAATAGTTTCATTTATGGCTTGTTTTTATCAAGTTATATGTGCAACATATTTTTGTTAATATTTTTGTTAAAGTAAAACACACATACAGTAAATTGCACACCTCTTAAGTGTATGGATTGATTTTTCAATCTTTCAATCTTTCATCAGATTTATCCCATTGTATACTCCTATTTTATGGTATGTTTTAAATGTCTAAGCCACAAATGTATTTTAAACATGTCCTTTTCTATGGTTTCTTGATAGTTAATAGAAATATAAATGATTTTTCTGTTTAAATCACCTATATTGAGGTATAATTTACTTACTACACAATTACTATGTAAAAAGATTACCATTTTAAGTGACAAATGCATACACCCATGTAACCATCATTACAGTTAAAATGTACAGCATTTAGGGACTTCCCTGGTGGTCCAGTACCTAAGCCCTGAGCTCCCAAAGCAGGGGGCTTGAGTTCAGTCCTGGCTCAGGCAACCAGATCCCTCATGCCACAACTAAGATTTTGCATGCCACAACTAAAAGAAAAGATACTGCATGCCACAACTAAGACTTGGCACAGTTAGATAAATAGACATTTAAAAAAATGTACCCTGGAGAAGGAAATGGCAACCCACTCCAGTATTCTTGCCTGGGAAATCCCATAGACAGAGTAGCCTGACAGGCTACAGTCCACGGAGTCGTAGAGTCAGACACAACTTAGCAACTAAATTACAACAACAAACACAATCAGGCAGATTGTGATTTGGGGAAATGCCTCTTGATGGAAATGTGGCATAAAACAGAGTGAAGTGACCTAGCAATATGGAATGTAGAGTTTTGTAAGAAATTAAAATTTGTGTATAGAGTCATAATTGCAAATATTCAAATAATAAAGTCTGTGGCTAAAGAAAAAAAATTGTGTAACATTTTGTTGTTGTTCAGTCTCTAAGTTGTATCTGACTCTTGCGACCCCATGGACTACAGCACACAGCCTCTGTCCTCCACTGTCTCCTGGAGTTTGCTCAAATTCATGTTCATTGAACTGGTGACATTATCTAACCATCTCATCCTCAGCTGCCCCCTTCTTCTTTTGCCTTCAGCCTTTCCCAGCAACAGGGTCTTTTCCAATGAGTTGGCTCTTTGCATCAGGTGGCCAAATTATTGGAGCTTCAGCACTAGTTCTTCCAGTTAATATTCAGGGTTAATTTCTTTTAGGATTGACGGGTTTGATCTCCTTGTTGTGCAAGGGACTCTTAAGAGTTTTCTCCTGCACCACAATTGGAAAGTATCAATTCTTCAGGGCTCAGACTTCTTTGAGGTCCAACTCTCATATCCATACATGACTACTAGAAAAACCACAGCTTTGACCATATGAACCTTTGTCTGCAAAGTGATGTATCTACCTGTTTTTTAATATGCTGTCTCAGTTCAGTTCAGTCACTCAGTCGTGTCCGACTCATTGCGACCCCATGAATCGCAGCATGCCAGGCCTCCCTGTCCATCACCAACTCCCGGAGTTTACTCAAACTCATGTCCATTGAGTCAGTGATGCCATCCAGTCATCTCATCCTCTGTCGTCCCTTCTCCTGCCTCCAGTCCCTCCTAGCATCAGGGTCTTTTCCAATGAGTCAACTCTTCACATGAGGTGGCCAAAGTTTTGGAGTTTCAGCTTCAGCATCAGTCCTTCCAGTGAACACCCAGGACTGATCTCATTTAGGATGGACTGCTTGGACCTCCTTGCAGTCCAAGGGACTCTCAAGAATCTTCTCCAACACAACAGTTCAAAATATGTTGTCTAGGTTTGTGATAGCTTTCCTTCCTAGGAG